GCCGAAAAAACTATATCCGGTCACAGTGATCTGCTATTTTAAAGTAAATTCAACACATATCGACCCTAAATATAGCATATATTAAGAACGAGAAAGTGTTAACATCGTTTTTTGTAAACATATGACAAATGTGCGAGGGTGATGACATCAGAGCATCGTCCTATGGGCTTAGCCCCGGACAGGTACAACAGGTATTCACTCAGAGGGCGGTAGGTACTAAATGCCACCCATTTACATGTAGGCAAACAAAGTCAAAAATCAACATACAGTAGGGGGGTGGGGGATGGTGAACGGTATGTGGGTATGTGGGACACTGAAAAGTCTATGTTAAAAAGCCTCAGTCACCTTAATTCATGTAATAAAAACATCTCAGGTCAGTAACACTGGTGATGTTTTATAATATAAGATTAGGATTTCTTGTAGATTATTTTGTTAAATAAAAACATGGTGATGTTTTATAATATAAGATTAGGATTTATTGTAGATTAATTTGTTAAATAAAAACATGGTGATGTTTTATAATATAAGATTAGGATTTCTTGTAGATTATTTTGTTAAATAAAAACATGGTGATGTTTTATAATATAAGATTAGGATTTATTGTAGATTAATTTGTTAAATAAAAACATGGTGATGTTTTATAATATAAGATTAGGATTTCTTGTAGATTATTTTGTTAAATAAAAACATGGTGATGTTTTGTAAATGTATGATCCTATCTGAAAAAATATTAATACTCCTAAAATAAATGGTAGACATATCAAATTGTTTCCTCTTTGTATGTTTTATTATTTTCTCATCTGTGATGGATAAAGAAAGTAATCCAAAAGTAATCTAAAAGTAATCTGATTACGTTACTTTTTTAAGACACGTAACTGTAACTGTATTCGGATTACTTTCAGAGCCATGTATTCAGTAATCAGTAACTGATTACATTTACAAAGTAACCCTCCCAACCCTGTTCATATCGCAATATATTCCAGAAGTCTGAAATGCAAAATGTTAGCAATTAAAATGTTTAATGTTTAATAGCATTATTTAGTCTAAAACATACCGTCAGTTTAAAAGCTGTTTTATTGTGAAAAACCCGGACGTTCTCATAAAATCTCAATGCCAAGCTTTTATTCTGAAAATCCTTCATATCCGGTTAGTTTTTTGCCGGTCAACGTGTGTGAAAGTTTAAATCTTCCTTATTGAGCTTTAAAACAAATGAATAACGACTATATATAATAATAAAATAAACACCGGCTGTTGTTATGCCTGCTGTAACGTTAAATTACTCCGTTCTCCGCTTGTAATTATGCCGTTACAAGCTTCATAGTTGTATTTATCATCTCAGACATTGGAAAAGTCTATGTTAAAAAGCCTCAGTCACCTTAATTCATGTAATAAAAACATCTCAGGTCAGTAACACTGAAAGCTAAATGTGCAATACCATGTTCAGCTATGTTACTATTTATAATGTTATTGTTGTTACAACAGAAGATGTTTTTCTTTATATTGAAGTTAAATGCATCAATCTGGTGCACTTTGAGGTCAAAATTAAGAGATTTATGGATACCGCTGGAAAAAGCTGCAGTACATATGCCGAGCCTGTACGTAGCGCTGTAACTTCCTCCACAAAAGCAGCCTTCTGTTTATTCAACGTGGTGGGGGCCGAGGGAACCGGGTAGAGTTTTTCGCCGGTCAACGTGTGTGAAAGTTTAAATCTTCCTTATTGAGCTTTAAAACAAATGAATAACAACTATATATAATAATAAAATAAACACCGGCTGTTGTTATGCCTGCTGTAACGTTAAATTACTCCGTTCTCCGCTTAAGTAATTATGCCGTTACAAGCTTCATAGTTGTATTTATCATATAAATTTGCCGAAACAAGTTTAATATTCTGAAAGCCAAGACTTTGTTTATTTGAAATCAGATGAAAACAAACTGTAACGGACCCTGCCGTGTTATCTATGATTACTATGCCTTACTGTACATTCATAATTTCAGCTGGAGGGAGGTGGGCGGCGCTGCGGAGGAGCAGATTGCGAGTGAGAGGTGCCTGTCATCTTCCCTTTACAACAGGGGTAGCCAACACGGTGCCCGCGGGCACTTGGTCGCCCGCAGGGGCAACGTGAGTCGCCCGCAGGGGCAACGTGAGTCGCCCGCGGGGCATGTTCTAAAAATAGCTCGCCAAGCAAATCCAAAATGTATAAAATACACAAAACAAAAAAGGAAATGTAATTAAAAGAATCTACCCTATGCATAAACGAAACCTAAATCATAGCGAACTCTATCTACTTACTACAACTCTATATCTATCTAACACCCCTCCTCCCCCCACCCCCACAATGAATATCGACCAATCACGTTCTTGCTTGATTTGCGGGACCAGCGTTGCAGTCTGGAAGAAAAGCAATGTGGCACCTCAGTCCCTGCTGATTTTCCTTCTGGCAGAATCTACACAACACATCAGCCCCATTGAACAGCCTATCATGCCAGCCTATACAACACATGAGGGGCAGAGTTTTACTCTGTGTGTGTTGCAACTTGCATATACATTTATTGCACTTGACGCACACACACGCATGGCGTAATTTCCACCTGGGGACAGGGCGGAAATGTCCCCCGCTCTTTTCGAAATTTGTTTGTGTCCTCCCACTTTACAAATATGTTTATTATTATTTTTTAACGCAAGCCGTCATCGCCACTGAGGAGCATACAGCCTCTGTGAGCGAGCGAGACAGAGGGAGAGAGAGAGAGAGAAAGAGCGAGCGAGAGAGCTAGGGAGGGAGAGAGGGGGGGGGAGAGCGAGAGAGCTAGGGAGGGAGGGAGAGAGAGCTAGGGAGAGCACACCTTTATCTATTTAATATAGATAAAGTCAGAAATCATTCCAATGTGTATAGGACAGTAAAAAAAACAAAAAACAGTTTGAAAGGGGAGTGATTAGTAAAATAAGCATAAATAAAAAGAAAGAATGCTAACTAGGTAACATAAGATAAGAATAATCAAGTTTAAATGATTTGTTATTGCTTGTGGTCATATTCTAAAGATGTTTGGATTATTGAAAAGTATACAGCTCCCTTTCATCTGAGTGTTGAGAGCTGTCCATCAATTCATGTTGTGCTCAAAGTGCTCCAGATTGATGCATTTCACTTCAACATTTAAAAAGAATCTTCCCGGGGGTGCATGCCCCTAGAGGAGGTGAGGACCCCCCTAGAGGAGGTGAGGACCCCCCTAGAGGAGGTGAGGCCCGTCCACCCCCAAATAAAGCAGGTTAAAATAATTAAATTGAATACATGTTCTTTTAGTAAACACTGCAAACGGGTCCCACAGACCCAAACAGCACACAAAAGTTAAAGGTCAGCATATCATAATGTTAAAATGTGCTAAATATATACACTGCAAAAAACAAAAAAAAGAGGAGTAAAAGTAGCCCCCGACTTGTTTTATTTTTTGAAAGTAGCCCTCACCCTAAAAAAGGTTGGTGACCCCTGCTTTACAAGCTTCACAAATGTATTTATCGTGTGATTTTGGAAATAAAAGTTTCATATTCTGAAAGCCAAGACTTTGTTTATATATTATACGTGGGTAGCTATGACGTCAGAAGGAGTTACCGTAAATGAGAGCTGCCGTAAAAGTGTTTCTAGGATTTCTAAACGAACTATTACAGCTGTTATAAAGCATTAAATAAAAAGTCATGAAAGCGATAAGGAGGAGAAAAGGTTTAAGGAAGTAAGCAAGGAATACAGAATGTCGAAATCCTCTGTTTCACGCGATGTCGAACATTGAAGACAGAGGACGGCGGTCCCCCAATCTACACAGCGGGAGAACGAAGATCATAAAGCAGATCGGAGGAGACATCACGATCTTTCCCACATTAGTGCAATTCACCTATACTTAACCCCAAATAAAAGAACCCAATAAAAACAGTTGTTAAATAATAGTGAAGTCACGTTGTAATAATAACTCATCTCTCGGTTTGAGTGTTCTTTTTCTGCTTTTCTGACTATTTCTCATTGTGGGGAAAAATAACACCCAGGGTCCTGATCGTTTTAATGAAGTTGAATACAGAATATTCATATTTGTCAGTGATTTCATGTCAATTCGGCGAACATAAACATAAATGATCGTGGTGAAGATGATGATTAAATTAGGATTAAAAATCGGGAGAGCCGGCTGCATTTCCTCTCGTTCGTTTTTTTCGACTAAACAACATTATTTTGTTAAATAACAACATGGTGATGTTTTGGAAATGATTACATGTCTTATTTAGCACAGACTATGATCCTATCCGTGACATATGGATCTTAACAAAGATCCGCTATACATTAGTACCAGACATACTGTACATCCAGCTTACTGTATCGAAGTTGATTTCACATGAGCTCCAGTGTGGAACCCCACTGCACCCCCTGGTGGATCAATGATCCATTGCAGCTGGCTTCACAATAATTAAATGTATTTATCACGGGGGCGGTATCAAGTCAGACTGGGGGCCGGCTCTTCATCACGAACCGATCACGGGCCGATCACGGAACGTGCACGAGCCAATCACGACCCTCGCGTTTCAAACTGTCTGAAATAAGATGCTCCATCTGTAGTCTATAGTCATCTATGCATTCGATGATTTTGTTTGCATAATTGTTTTAAGGTCTCTTTAATTCAAGAGAGCTTTATCTCAGACAGGCTAACTGACTAAATAAAACGAAATAACTACATTTAAATTGTGCAAAATGATGATATATGAAACAATGAGTTGTATATATATTGTTATGCAGTTTCTACTGAGGAAGCTTTTCCTCTAATTTATCTGGGTATATTATGGCACAGAGCAATGAAGCGAGCAAGACATTTTAAACATTTTACCAGGATTTCTGCCACGACCTAATAAAGTACCTCAATTGCTTTGGTATTAAGTATAATGCAAAAACAGATTGTCCCAATTATATTCACTCTTCATGTTAAAAATCAAAATCAGACAGATGTCATTTGAGTGTCAGTGTGTGTCTTACCTCTTCACAGTAGAGTGGCGGACATCTTAACTGGCACACTTGTTTCCCGTTCACACAGTGACACGACAGACAGCCTTCGTCCCACTCTGATCCTGCCTGGCTCGAACACACACAAAATAATGATATTTACTCTCTTGACATAAGAAATGTAGGACCCTCTTTCATTCAGGTCGTTCCTTCATTCAAACTCACATTGCTGTGAGTCGAAAGGCAACTGGTCACAGCTGAGGATGAGCTGAGGATGAGCTGTGAATATACTAAAGCTCTGGGTGCACCCTGCTATGGAGGCCCATTATGATGCTTTAATTATAACACAACATAACACAAACTACTTTACATGTCTCATGTTTGCTATGGGAATCCTTGTTAAGTATTTACCCATGCAAATGCATCGACTAGGGGGTGCATTTGTAGCTCACACTGAGCCGTTTGTTGTTATAGTCAAGAACTAGTTTATTTAGAACACTATAGAGCAGGGGTGTCAAACTCAATTTCATCACGGGCCACGGAGGAATTATGGTTGCACTCAAAGGGCCGGTTGTAACTTTAAGACTATATCAAAATACATATATAATATATATTAAATAATTGGATTATTATCTGATAGGGTAATAACTTCATAATTAACTACGTCTGAAAGCAGAAGTCTAGGGCAAGTAATTGCAAGTCTCTTCAGTGAGAACGTCACAAAATGATTTAAAAAGAAAAGGCAAATTCTGGAAAAAAAAGTCAAAAAAAAGAAGTGACATTTTGGAGAGAAAAAAGTGACAAAAAAAGTCAAATTCTGAGAAAAGGGGAAATTCTAAGAAAAAAGTCATATTTTGAATTAAAAAAGTCAAATTCTGAGAGAAAAGTCAAATTTGAGATGCATTGTGGGACATGTAGTATGGGCAACGTGCTTCTGTAAATCGCCATGTGACCGTATAATAAACATAATAGTCTTTCAGAGCTCTTGTGGGGCCACAGAAAATGAAGTCGCGGGCCGGATTTGGCCCCCGGGCCTTGAGTTTGACACCCCTGCTATAGAGGGTCTTTATAGGGAAATGAGTCACCACCAGCTGACAGAGAGAGACAAATAGAAATAGTGAGAGAGAATGGGGATAAAAAGGAAAAGGGATGGAGAAAGTGAGAGATTAAACATGAAGCCTTTAATGAGAGCAGAAGAGGGACTGAGAGATAAAGCAGAGGAAACAAAGAAACAAAGAGAGGATGAAAGGCCTGGAGAGAAAAGATCAAGAGGGGGGGAATATGACCTCTTGTCAGTGTATGATTAGTTCTTATAATCCTATAATATCCCCTCATTCATAAATAATTCCTGGCAGGCTTGCCCGGTCCCAGTCCCCAGCTTTTCTACGGCACTTCCTACATAATTGATGAAGGTTGAGGGCTGCAGAGGCAATGTGGTGTAATGTGGTCCGAGGGGCATGTCACTCATCTTCTAATGGGCCATTCTTCATGAGTAAATAACACAATGGCAGTGAATTGGTGGGGGGGGGGGGTCGTAAACACCGCACTTATGCTAAGTTTCAGATTCGCAAAACAATGAGGCAGGTACAAAGGGAACTAGCTGAGCAGCAGATGTCTGTTTTCTCTGGGTGTGAGCCAGTGTGTGTGTGCGTGTACCTCTCGCATGATGCCCTGGTCATGGCAGGGGCAGAGGGCGGGGATGACACACACACCCTCAGAGTTTCTGTAGAGTCCGTCCTCACACACGCAGCCCTCGGTGGAGTGGCTGCAGTTCACCGGAGAGGAAGAGTAAATGTCCTCGCAGCTCCTCTCACACAGCAGGACCTCCTCCGACTCACTCCTCTTCCAACGCTCCCCGTCAGGACACGCTGCAGGGGGAGGGGTTATGAGGGGAAGAAAAGGTGTTAGGATGTAGAGGTCAAATAGAGAGGGGAGCGAAGATGAGACAGGAGGATGGTATGATGGAGAGGAGACATTTTTAACATATTAAAACCATTTATAAAACGAGTTAAAACACCCACTCACTAAACCCACTCCCATGAAGAGTTAGTAAAGATCTATCCTAAGTTTAAGAAATGCTAAAATACTAGTAAGGTGGTATTGAACAAGTGAAAAAGTGTGAATTTAAGCAAGGACTGATGGGACTGACGCAAATTAAGCATTAAAGGCTCAGATTGGGACGAGGTTAGGACCATGGGTAGGATATATGACAAATGTAAGAAAGGTTTTTTAATCAGGGCTAACTCAGCATGTTTCATTTAAGATTTGATTGCTTGATTTCAGCTAGAAAAAATGACACTACTACTACTGAAGTCATTTGAACCTTTTCTTTCTCTACAACACAACACATTCTGGTCCTGGAAACAATGGTAACCATATGCTGTTCTACTGTGCTGATTAAATTGGCCATTTTTAAAATAATGTTTGTAACATGTCTTTCTGTTCGACTATAGGACTATAGAAATACAAATAATTCTTAATAAATATCCCAAGAACCTGAATGAATACAGGCTTTCCGCCTTGACATCACAAACTATGATGTTATTTGAAAAGTTTGTTCAAAAATAACTTTGGGATGTAAAAATCGGTGCAAGTACTTCGGCATTACAGTCAATAATAAGCTGATAAAGCTGTCTAAGTTCAATATTGACAGATCCCTGATGATTTTGTTGTACTTTGAATTATTTTCATTTGTCACTACAGGTACTGAAAGTCTGGCAGTTATGTCAAGGCTCAGCTCGAATAGAAAAGGATATTATCACTTTGACCATCCATCCAAAGTTAAATATTGCTCTTAATGGATGTTTAACTCATATACTTTGAGTTTTTCTGTCCAGAGACACAAACATTCATATTGATATCATATGTCAAGCACTCAGTAAGATTCTGTATGCTGTGCTTTCTTGACTATCTGTTAATAATCACCTACTGCTGCTGCACAATTTATTCAGAATAATGATAAATAAAACATCTGCTACCTTTCCTCCCCTCACTCACCACAGTCAGGGGCAATGCAGGTGGTTGTGCGGCGGTCGGGGCCCTCACATGGGGCCCCTCCATACAGGCTGGGCTGCAGGATGGTTCTGTTGGAGCTCTGTTGTCCCGTACCACAGCTTTCTGAGCACGGAGTCCACGGGGACCAGCTGGACCACTCACAGTCCACTGCAGGGGGGAGATAAACATGCTTAGGTCAGTGTATTCATTAACCCTCATCTGTAAAGCAAGACATTACAATATTTTCCATCTGAGCATTATTCTTCAGCTCGGCCCAATAAATACAATTACAGTTGTTTAACCCAGATAGCTTCTCATAAAAGCCATTTGTTATTGGAAACACACACACTAGAAGGAAGTCACATTATGCACAAAAGAAACACATTTCTTTCTGGTCTCAACCAGGACAGTCTACTTTATGTGGCTGTCACTTGGAGAAAAATGAACAAAAAGATGAAGGCAGGAATAATCAATCACATTAAATACCAAATACATGTTTGTATTATCCCTTCTTTTTGACAGAGACAAAATGTGATGGGGCTCGGGTAGGATCTAAGGACATTTCCAGTAATAATAGACCCGGATCTTTATCTCAAATGTTCAATCCATAAATGACGATTGGTCATGTGGAGTTTTCGGAAAAACAGACTCTGGTAAGAACAAAGGGATTATAATCAAAACAACACAATAATACACAAAGCATTGTATAGATTCCACAATGTTCTTACTAGAGTGTGTTTCCTAAATATCCACTTTAGATGAGAGCAACCCACCCGAGTATTTCCCCCTTTTTGGGTGAAACATTCGCTGTCATTTGACTGGCGGTAAACACAGATTCTGAGGTTTTCGCCAATTACGATGGTCAGTCAGGTAAATAATTAAACAATGTCATTGGATATTGATGATTGCAACGATATAAAGTTCAAATAAAAGCAATGTTGATGTTCTGTCAATCTGCCGGTGGACAACTGGCATGCAGCATGCAAACACTTAAACTGGCATTTGGCTTGTCAGTGTTATATATTTTAATTCTGCCTATACAGTAACTCATTTGACTTTACATGTATACTTTGACAATTGACGTTAACCTTATTGGCCTTATTGGCTGTGATGATGTGTTTCCCACAGACCTCCGTGTAATGACTGAACATGCCGTATATATTTTATCGTCATTTTTAAAGTAAAAATATAGCAAATCTGAACTTTAGATCTTTGTGTTGTTTGGCTTGTGATATAAAACACAGCAGCTTTTAGGCAGGGAAAAATATTTGTTTTGCTTTGCACTGATTCTTTGTTTTCAGCGGAAAGTGGGCGGGGCCATCATTTTTGCCAGGCAGTGACTTAGAGCTGCTCTCATCTATGGAACTATTGCTATTATCATGATTAATAGTTTTTTAAATATGAAACAACTCCCAGGTTGAGATATAAATAAGATGTTCCCTTCAAACTCTGTTATACACTGCTCTCTGTGAAAGAGGAATTCACTTAGAGCTCATCCAGAGGAGAGAGGAGGCAGCAGGAGGATAAAAGGCACTGCTCATCAAACGATGATGGATAAAAACATCTCATGTGCGAATCACAGAGCGAGTCGCACATGAGAGTCTCTTACGAGGATCAGGGCTTGTATGCGACACTCTGCTTCCTATTATCTCTCATCTCTCTCCCTCTGCTAGTTTAAGATGTTATCATGATATGTTTACGAAACAAAAACCCAGTAATGGCCTTTGTAGGCCGTGATTGATGTGACTGTCGCTCAGTTATTTGAGCCAACTGTTGCAGCAGCTGTTACTCACTATAGATACGTTGACATATTCATCATGGACCTGACAATTCAACCAAAGATTATTGTTGCCGGTACTTTCCATGTTAAAAGAGAGGGGCCATATAAAGAGCAGGATATGCGTTTGGTAAGAACAGCTGTGACATAGCATCACTCACCATCACAGATCTCAGAGGAACAGTTGAAAACTCCTCTTTGACACACACTGTGAGAGAGAAAAATCAGGTGAGTGACACAATATGAGGGAAAAAGCAAAACTGACATTATTGAAAACTGAGAAACTTAAGCAATTATTACTAGTCAATGTATTGAACACGTTAGAAACAAATCAAACAATAATCATAAAAAGAGAAGCAAAATAAAAAATTTAAAAAACTTTCAAGGTATACAAATAAACAATTAAAATTGTTCAAAAGGGGCAAGAAGAAGCTTAAAAACGTTTTTGGTCCTATACCACTGTATATATACTATACTGTAGAACAAATCATTCCATTCAAAACAAACAAAAGCAAATAACTTTTACAGGTCCTGCTCATAACCATTCAGGATTTGGTTTCTAAATAATTGTTTTAGTTTAGATAAAGTTGCACAGTATTTCAGCTCATCATTACAGTAATTCCACAGATGAACACCTTTTGTTGTGATGCTATGAAGTTTGGAATTTGTTCAAATGGGTGGTTTTTTGAAAATGCAGTTTCCTCTCAACATGTGTATGTTTCCTCTCCGTCTACTAAGTCCCTGGATATTATGTGGCCATTGCTGATTTGGTTCTTTGAACATCATTTGGATAGTTTTATAGTCAACCAGGTCTTGTAGTTTTAGTGTTTTTAGTTTGATAAATCATCGATTTGTTGATTCTTTGTTTTATGTATAATATGTATGGCTCTTTCTTGCAGGATGAAGATTGGATGTGTATTTTTTTATATGTGTTCCCCCTAACCTCCCTCATGTCACAAGGCTGATCCATTCAGTATTTATTAAAGAGGATCAAAATGAGTCTGCGAAGATGAGATGACCTACGTTATGTCTGCTGTATACTAGACTATCTATTACAGCAGATATCATAGTACCAAACTGGATTGTTGTTTGACTAAGACAATGAAACTCAACTCTGCCAATGATACACAACACTTTTTTTGAGTAGCGTCTATAATTGCAAAATATCATTGTCAGATTACTTGGAATAGCGTGGCACATTTATCATGAATTAATCACAACATGGTCAACCCGACGGTGGTACGGTTCTAATTTCCTAATGTTTCAACAACACTTTACATAAACCCCTTTGCATATTGTTATTCTCTCCTATTCATACAACACCCTGCCATCAGACAACTTCTTAACCATGTGGTTTTAGTTTCCTTAACCTAACCATAGTATATATATGCTGATACAAAATATTTAAGTCACCTTGAAGCAAGTGTTTCAATAAAAATACATTCTGTTTTTCCCTTGTGTCACCATTTGCAGCTAAGGCCAAGCCTTATTCAACACATTAATACAACTCGAAAACTGCATGAACTTTCCAATTCTAATAGAGTGCAAAGTCAGCTACAGTATGCTCATTTCTCCTTGTGTTCTTTGTGTTCTACCCTCCTAAATGCTTAGAGAATAAGCAATATCCTCTGGGACTCAGTTACTGTGGATTAATCATCTCAGGGACTTTGTTATTTTAAAATGCTCTTTCAAATGTGGCCAATACATACAGCGTTCCCATACCTGAATTTTGTGGACACAAGCAGTGTCAATCAGTACCCTAAAATCTACCATGAGACGATAAGTTGTTTGTTTGATCATACTCAAAGCATCAGTACTAATATGCCACTTGATCTAGACCAATGACAAAGGGTTAAAATGATGAAAGCTGGGAGTAAATTACTACCGTTTGATCTTGGCTACAGCCTGAAAATGATGTGAAATATTAATATCATGGATTTATTTAATATCAACCAGAAATTCATTTTGAGTTTTAGTAAAGCTAGCTTATAATTTCCTCCATTATTTAAAGAAAACATGCTTGTAATGTTTGAAATATTTGACTAAACAAATGGACATGGTCAGCTCGATGTAAAAGCACTATGTGTCCGTGTGAGTCTAGACGCTCATGTGTAATGTATTACCATATGTTGCAGAGGTGCTGAAAGGCTGTTCCAGCTGGCAGCAGAGTGTCTGTGATCTCCTCAGTGCTCATATTCCAGCGCTGGTAAGCAGTCGGCAGGGACAGCAGTGAACAGGGACATTCAGCCTGGGACACACAGGAGCCTTCATGCAGCACCTGTGGGGGACACCGTGAGAATCAGATCATTTCACGGGTAATAGGATCCAACTACACAAAAACACACATGCACATAAACACATAAAAACACACGGGGTGTCCAGACCTGTCCGGGGGGGCACTTGCACCCAGGAGAGCAGGGTCCGGTTAAACACTGAGTGTGTGGCCACAAGTCTTCACAGGTGTAAGGACAGGAGCCTGAACAGTCACTGAACACCTGCCCTCGAGGACACTCTGCAACACACAAAGATAAAAGAACATACAATGAATTTCATTCTGTCTCATATACAGTTTTGGGGGTAACATGCTACAAAGTAACATGTTATTGTAATCTGATTACATATGTCTGTATCGCGTTACTGTTGATAACAGCAGGAATTACATTACAGTTATTAAACACAAAATCATTTTGGTTACTTTAAGGTCTTCAGCTATTTGCATAACGGGAGGACGGAAAAATAAATCAAATGTCCCTTTCCGATAGCGCGACACTCGAGTTCATGGATGAGGAGACGGAGCAAACATGGCAGAGTTGCATAGCACAGATAAACAGGCTTATCGGAGCAAAAGTGGAGAACATTTTGCCTGTTTCGACAGTGGAATACAAGCGGGCGGTCGCCATCGGACAGGAAAACTTTAGCAAACTTCCTGGACCAGTGTTTGGAAACTGAGCTAAAGAAACACGGCTGATTTCAAATAAAGAACTTGTGTACAGTATTGTCCTTATCAAAGTATAAATAAATTAGGTTTAACTTTATATTCTCATTTGTCATTTGATTTATGGGGCATCTCAGGTGATGTTACAGAAAGGTCCATATATATATTTCAATATACACATGTGGGATTTTTCTTTTCGTACACTTTACAATCTGTCCTCAGAATAGATTGTCTTAGCCACATTTGGGATCACCTTTCACCACATAAAACTATAAAAAAGTGAGAACACAACTAATTAATGTGGTTATGAGTTGCTTAGTTACCACTGAATTCAACTAGAACTTAGGAGTTTCATTGCTTGGTAAAAATACAGTATGTAATGTGCTAAATGTACACATTGAAATGATGTGTGTGTTTGTTTTTGTTACCAGGCCGGCAGCTGTTGGTGTTACAGGCAGTGTGCTGTTCTAGTGGTCCCACACAGGCCGTCCCACCAGGCTCCGGCTCTCTGAGAACCGTCTTGTTCCGTGATGACAACCCCCCACCACAAGAGGTGCTGCACTCACTCCAGGATGACCACTCGCCCAACAAACATCCCACTGGAGGGAGAGATGTCGGACACAGGCGGAGTATTAACAGGTGACACAACTTTCACTTTTAACACTGTGTGATGTACAAAAGGTTGGCACATTCTCAATTGTGCATGTTGGTACTTGTTCCTAGTCAAACAAGAGATGGGTGAGTCCTGATTCATCCGGATCATTAACCCGGATCCTAGTAATGACCTGGGAGTGACGAGTCTCCCCACTCCATTAACCCGAGTCCTTTGAGTCCTACACCTGGTGACGTACAAATTAAAACTATAAATTGCTTCACTCGCTACTCTCCTTATAACATGTCAAATCACATTACAACGTACCCCAGTCCATCTGCCTAGCCTATAGCAAGTAGGGTAGCTGCCAGAAGTTATTGTTTGGCTCAGGGCACGCGGATCAATGAAACTTCCTGCAGACTCGTGCGGACTCAGAGCCGTAACCGTAGCAGATCCAGAGATCCAGAGATCCAGACTCATCATGCACGAGTCAACAGCAGACTCAGATTCGCAAATCCTGACTGGATCAAGGGAACTTCCTTCACTGTGCAAAACATAGCAGACTCAGTGCGGACTCGGAGCCGTAACCGTAGTAGATCCAGAGATCCAGACTCATCATGCACGAGTCAACAGCAGACTCAGATTTGGTGAGCAGACTGAATGAGTGGATTACTCCACACAGTGCGAAACAGCAAACGGTTTCGGACTCGTCATGGTTTTCAGACTCAGTGTCAGCTCTATTTGTGATAACGTAGATGCATACTGTGCACAGATAATTTGACGACTTCACCCAGTCAAGTGTAAGAAGCCAAATACTACAATAAACAAGCATTAAGACACAAACGTTGTTAGATCATGTTTGTGTAGCGGAGGTTAATGTAACGATAGTTTAATATGCTCGTGAAATGCAAATCTCAACTGACAAATTCAAAATACACAAACAGTGGACTGCCACCCTCACTAGTAGCTCTAACATTTGAATGTATTTGAAGTTGGAGACTATGTGCTCCTGTTTCACCGGTAGGATATCTACGCTCTTGGTGACTCATATGACTCAAAGGACTCGTATGATCCGGATCTCTTCAATGACTGACTCAGAAGACCTTGAGTCCGTAAAAGGATCCGGATTTGCCATCTCTAAGTCAAACCTGGACATGATGGCAGATCACAGCTCTCCGTCTGCATGGTGTTCCCACAGGAGGGACCGCCCTCTGTGTCCTGGCAAAGGCGTGTCCTGGTCATCTGGCCCCGCCCACAGGAAGCTGAGCACGAGCTCCATGGGCTCCAGGGCTCATAAACCGGGCACTGGAGCTTAGTACACACCAGAGTACCATTCTCACACACACTGAAGAGGAAGGAGAGAGTTGTTGAAGAGATAAATACAAGTAAGTGAAGTGAATGTTGTAATGATGAAAGAACATCCATAACATTCATCTGTTTGCAACTTATATATATCAATATTCCAATTACTTGTATATAGACTATTCTGCACTATTTCTACTATATTCTATTTTATTTTATTTACTTGCACTATTGTATCTGTTTGATGGTGTTGCACTGTTGGAGGAGCCTGTGACCTAAGATTTTCATTAGCTATGCACAAATGACAATAAAAGCCTTGAATCTTGAAAAAAGTAAATTGCTTCTAACCAGGTGTTACAGTCCATGGAAAGCTCCTCTTTAGGGCGGAACTCCAGCGTCCCGTTGCCTGATGGGATACCACAGCGACACTTTGTCACTGGCACACAATGGCCATCCTGCAACAACTGTCCCTCTTGACAACGGCAACCTGAGAGATTAAGTAAAGTACAAATTGAGAAACCAAATAGTTTGCAGTCTTTAAAGCAACTGTTGATGCTACAAGTCAAAGTGTACCTGGATGGCAGGTTCCTTGGAGACACTGCACATGCTCCCATAAGTCAGTGCAGCTGCGAGGACATTGATTGGCACAGCTCTCCTCGTAGGTCCGCCCCCTGTCCTCACAGCGCTCACCTGAGAGACAAGGAAAGTCAATCTTTCCCACTTTTCATTAAAGCAAAGCAAAGCTCACTGAAACGACCGCAGACAGTAACATTTGGGCTTTTCTGCCAGGAGTGATATGAAAGACTTGCATGGAAATAAAGTCTTTGCAATAAATGATCTGAACACAAAACACACAGGTAGAAGAAATACTTTAATACTGTACTACAGTGTAAATATGCTCAGTTACAAGTAAAAGTCCTGCATTCAAAATGTTCCTCAAGTAAAAGTACAAAAGTTTAAGCATCATAATATATTAAAAGTACCAACAGTAAAATAACTCCTCATAGAGATTAGCCCAAGATGCTTTAATGTGTTAATCACTTATTTGAATTACTTCATAAACTGCTATTCAGCTTAACCTGCAATCATTTATAACTTCAAATGTATTAAATCTAAATCTGCATTGTAGCTAGTAATTAAGGTTGTAAAATAAATGTTAAAGGGCAAAAGGAGTAGCATACTGTCAAAATACTTTTACTTATGCAAAGTACTTGAGTAAAAGTAATTAGTTACTATCAACCAATAGCACAATATAATTGTTTGACCCACACATTTCTTGAAGACATTTCTACTTAATTTTGGATTAACTTCCTTTGTGTATGTGAGGATCTAAAACGTAAAATAAAATAAATTGTACCTGGGCAGAGTCCTGTGTTGCAGCTCTGGCTCTGGGTCTGTTGGCTCTTACAGAGGGGTCCTGGAGGAGAGGCCAGGGGCCGTCTGAAGCGCTGCCTGACTCCCCCGCTGCAGGGCTCCGCACACGCTGTCCAGGCGCTCCAGACACTCCACTGACACAGATCTGGAAGGGTACAATGATAATCATAACCAGCATCAACCCTTCTTAATGATAATGGCTGTAATTATCATGATGGCCGCTGTAATATCTGTAATTGCTGTAATCACCATCCAAGATAACAAAAGCATATTGTTGTTTGTGGACTGACGCACAAGCCTATTTGAGAGGGTGAAATGTCTGATTTATTTATGAGAGATAAGATTAAGTTCCATTTATTCATAGTAAATTAAAGCAATTTATCTTCACTGAGCAGTTGTAGATATCTGGAAATATTACGATGGAGTAAAAGACCTTCAATATTTGACATCAGAATCAAACTACGGTCCATTGGGCATGGTAGTAATTTAGAGACATTCACATTCACATCCAAATATGAGAAGAATGGAGCAATGATAGAGTGAATTCAGGATAAATCATTCTTTGCAGACACATGCTAAATCTAATCAACCTTACAGCAACATGGAAATCTTCCTTTCTTCAAACCCCTTTTCCATTTTTGTGAAATAATGAGAATAGGGCAGTGGGGATGCACAATGCTATATTTCTCAGTGGACGCTGATAACAAGCTTTAAATCTATCTACTGAAGGTAACTATTAATCTGAACCGTCAGCAATGAACTGACACATAAAACATATTCACAGGGATAACATTGGAAACCTGGAACCACACTTTTCTACAGATTCCAGATTAAAGTCTATTCTTTCTGTTTTAAATGCTCCCCAAACAGTTAAATTGATCCAATTGTACTGGAAAAACCGTCAGATTTTCTGTTACCTTATGAATAGACTACTTGTCCAATTCCACATCACAGTTAGAAATATGACATTGAGTTCTCCAAAGCTCCATTCCCAGACATCTTCTGTGCAACCTCTAAAATAATCACTAGCTCAAAATGTGGAAAAACAAAACATCCTACCATAAATATGTATGTGGACAACACACTGGGTTATGTAACAGTATAATCAAGTCAAAGAACAAATGAATAATTCAAGTAATTATGTCTCAGCAAGATTTAGAAAACACCTGACCATTGGTTATCTTGAATAGGCTCAAATATTGTAGTTTTGTCTCGACACATCTCTTAGAAGTCAATCAGCCCTCTCTGAGACTCAGAGAAGTGGAATACATATGAGATTATACGTCTATGGTTCAGGGCTTTAATAAATCTCTGATCTGTTGCTACGTTCAAGATCTCTGGTTTTCTGGGACAGGAATGCTAAATATTGCTAAAGCTATGTAGAAGTCACATTCCGTTTTTAAGCACCAAATACCTGAAATACAACATAACTTGAGGTCTGCTCCAACATGCATTGAAAAATAAGCTTTTCAATATTCAAGTCTTGAACTGTCATTTATTAACTTCAGTTCTGAGCTTAAAATCTTTTTTAGATGTGTCTTTTCTATTGGCTATGGCCTCTTATTCAACTTGTCTTAACAGCCTGTTTGTTATATATATTTATTTTATATTTGCCTTGCTTTGTAGTAATTGTGCATGAAAGTATTTCCTTTTCCTCTCAAGAGAAAGCCATGCTAGAGTAATTTCATTATCACCCTGGCCCACACTGTTATTATTTGTTTCTATGGAGCCATGCTTGTGTATAACCAGTTAACTGAGTTACTATCTGTAAATGGGAGCAGAGTATCAGACTGCTGCTACGTGCTGAAGTGAACTGGGGTGGAGCACAATCTTCCCATCATTGCTCCTGGAGTAAAAGGAGCAACTGACTGCATCTCTCTACTGAGATCAAATACACACTTGGTTCTTTTGTAAACATATTTTTGTCCACTATAACAAAACCATTACCGTTGCAGATGTTGGCGTCTGGACAGAGCCTCTCCTCCTCCAGCGGTCGTGGGCATTTGCTCTCCTCCTCCTCCTCTCTAGGGACCGGAAGACCTGATTCTAGGTCCAAACAGGCCCGGAAACGCCTCTGGATTGAGACAATTTTACTGCTACTTATGACTCCAGTCAGGGAGGACGAGGGCACACAGGGAGAGCAGGGAGTCCACTCTGACCACTCGCTGAGGATGACTGGAAGAAGGTAAAAAAAAAGGAAGGGTAACTAAATGAGGGCAATATTAAACCAGGACGTTTTTTTCTCCAACCCACATTTAGTGTGCTTTCTTACCTTCACACTCTCTCGTGTCACACTGCAAAGCTCCATCATGGCAGAGGCTGGAGGACAGAACATCCCAAAAACAGATTATAATCATAATATGTCAAGCGTAGTCATAGATTCCAGACAAACAGGCAAGCAGGGAGAAAACAACAAGTGGATGAAAATCAAAAGAACAGAATATGATTAAGATGCAGCACAGAGGCACAAATAAAGTGTTTGCCATGGCAAAAGTAATCCATTCTGAATTCATCCTATAAATGCAGGTCTTGGCTCTGCAACAACACAATCAGACACATCTGCTTAGTTAACACTTAATTCTCAAGCTTTCTGTGTTTTAAAAGTTAAAACTACTTGAGTAACTGATACAGAAATCATTAAGCCCTCTGCCAAATGTTTTAAAAAGCCAGGGTCTAACCAAGTACTAGGGCTGTGCAATTCATCATATTTTAATCTCGATTTTGGCTTGCAACGATTACGAAAACATTACTTTGCTGCGTGGCTTCAGCTGAATACTTTGCAGTTGAATTATACTTAAAGTTCAGGGTAATCAACTGCTAAAAAGATACTTAAAAAAATAAAATGTTTAAAGTTCAATAAATTGATGTTTTCAAAGTCAATGAATAATCATATTTAATAATCGTGATATCAATATTGACCAAAATAATCATGATTATGATTTTTGCCATGATCGAGGAGCCCTACCAAGTACTGCAGCCTATGGTGACCATGGCCCCCTGGGGGAGGGTGACAGGTGTGGGGGGTGGTCCGGAGGCTTGGTGCTGCAGGTGGATGCAGCCACACTCCTCTGGAGGAACACAGGTACCATTCTGCTGCAGCAGGCCCTGAAGAGAAAATCACACAATTCACAGAAAGGAAGAACTGATGCAGTGATGCTTTTATATTTTTGTTTAATTTGGTTTGAACATTCAGGCCAAAATAAGAACTGTTATTTTCCCTTATATCTACAGATCCATGCTCAATCATTATATATATGTACAGACAAGGCAATATACTGTATATATGCAACCCAGTCTCACGGCATTTCGTGTTATTAGTCACGAAATTAATTGAATCTATTGATTCGTGTTCACCAACACGATTTTCACCTTTTTTTCATGTCACACAGAACGATTTTAAATGCAATGTATTTCTATTGGTAGTATGTTTCGTGCCTGCAACACGTCTTTTTGTCCGGTCGGGTCTTGGAAGACCAGAAGCTGTGTGGTTCATAAAAACATGTTCTTACTCAATATCTTACCCTAAGCCTAACCCTATCCCTTTTATTTTAAATTGTATAATGTCTGAGTTTTTTTGCCGTCAGTGAGGAAAAGAAATGGGGCTCAGAGCCTCAGAATACTGACATCTGTATTTTATGTCATCTTTTTTTCCTTCTAATTTGTTATTATTTGGTGCAGGCACGAAACACACTACCAATATAAATACATTGCTTCTAAAATCGTTCTGTGTCAGAATACTTAAATCTGTATTTTTTTAAATGTCTTTTTCCTTCTAATTTGTTATTATTTACATTGCTTTTAAAATCGTTCTGTGTGACACGAAAAAAATGGCGAAATCGTGTTGGTGAACACGAATCAATAGATTAATTTCGTGACTATAACACGAAATGCCGTGAGACTGTGTTGATATATGCTACTAACCATATAGGCATTTGTCAACAATTAAATAGTCAAACATATTTATGTTGCAGGTATTAACTTTGAAAAAGAAACATGTCAAGCAGCTGGATCAATATTTTTCATAACAACATTATTTTTAAATAAACCCAATGTATTTATGTCAAAGGAATTCCTCAAAGTGATACAACTCCAGAGAATATGCAGCTCCTCTTGGCTTTACAGAGCTTTATAGTGAGTTTCAGTAAATGTTTAGTTACTGTTTTTGGTTAACCTTTTTTTAAAGAGGGTTTTGTTTGGCTCTCCGAAAATCTGTTTGAACCCACTGTACACTACCTGCTCCGCACCAACCAGCAGACAGACAAAGTGAGAGACTAGCTAGGTAACATATAGTTGAGCATTAAGCAGCTAAAGAGCCAGACATTTCCCTCAGGACTTAAAAAAGAGTGAATATTGGATTTACATTCATCAGGTGAAATAAACAACCCCAAATGAATGATAATGATGCACTCACAAGTAATAAATGATTTCCAACAAGTTTGCCATTGTGTTACTGCAGGTAAAAGTATTTAATGACATACAGAAAAGTAATCAATGTTTGGGAAATGAATTACGGTACTTTGGTGTTTTACACCTCTGGGTATCTGCTTTTTGTTATTTCTTTCATTTATCTCCCCCCACTGCTGCTGTAGGTGCTGTGAGAGGAGTCTTTGCAGTAAACAAAGCTAGAAGCCCCAAACGGAGCAAAACCACATTACAGAAATGTCCTCATATCAAAGTAATTAACGACAATACTGTATGAAGCAGTGCATATTTTACTTTCTAAACTAATGCCAGAGAAGTTTTATTCTGGCCTGGACACAAATACAGTCCAGCAGTATGCGACTATGTTTACATGCATTTGAAGTCTTATGCTTTAGATTGCAGATATAAAGTTTGTAATGAGTTAATTTTGACTTGACATCATATTTTTGGAGTCTTTCTTCTACCTCAAGTGAATTCAGGTGTAATTAAAGTAAAAAAAGACTGTTCACTGTGAAGCATGTTTGTCAGTGTGATGTGAGAAATAGCTTGTTTTGCATCTCACATATTTGATGAAATTGTCTTAAACTGTCTGACTCATATGTGTTTAATTATCAACAGAAAAGAATGTGTCTTTACTTAACAGTATTAACTTAAGTCTCACCTGCCATGTTTATTGTCAGGAACCAGAATCCTGAATGTAGAACAATTATTCACATTCACATAATACAAATGATCTAATTTTGTGTGAGGATGTATGATGATTTACCATAGTGTTTCCTATATAAATATGGGGAATGGGATTCTCACCTGTGGGCAGTAGCAGCCAGGTGTACACTGCCTGACTCCTGAACAGAGATCTCCACGGCCCTGCAGCACACACTGCTTCTCACAGGGAGCACCACAGGCGGAGTACTCAAATGGGGCTTCACAATCTACAAACATGAGAAAACACATCACAGTATTTAAATGAAGGAAATCAAACACACTCAACCTAATGCATGTACCAGATCAATCACATTCTGCTGATTCCTGTGTACATTATAGATGCCAATATGCATAAAAGGAATATTCAAGTGCACTTTGAACCATGGGAGGATCACAGACAGGCCTCTTTGTTTCATACAGATATATATAAACAGTTTCCATGGTTGTTAACTCACCTCCACACTGACTGAGACTGCACGTCCTGCTCTGGGTTTCAACAGGAGTGCACTGTTGCCCCCTGGTGGCCGGGGAGAGGGCTACACGGTAGCGCTGCTGCCTCTGAGACTGACAGGAGCACGGAGACCAAACACTCCACCCCGACATGGGACAGTCTGCAGTCAGAAGAAAACAAATCCATCACTCTGGTGCTACATGCTGTTTTTTGTGATACACTTACAATCTGTGAAGCAGCCCTTTGACTTATACTCACTTGACCCAGAGACGGTCCCAGGACTGCTAAATGAATTAGTGTATAATAGATATATTTTGTACCAAAAATGATGTCTTCCTCTTAACAATCAATATAAAAGCTAGCTGTCTTACTGGCATCAGCTACTAAAGTACAATTTAGGCAGACCCAGAAATGAAATAAGCAACCATGATGATCTGACACAAATAGCAAAAGATGGTTTCAGATTTAAAATCAATCTTTGCATAAATCAATTCTCCAAATAAGATATGACTAGGACTGGAAACAATTTTTCTTCTTTTTTTTGACAAGCAACCCAAAATGAATGGATTAATCACAATCTTTATTACATTTTTTGATCCCTGATTTGTATCAATTTCAACCAAGCTTTTAGAAAATAATCTGGACAATTAAGCACACACAAGGTAATATTGTACACTATTACATATCAACATAAATATGAGATGGTATTAAAATAAGCCTAGCTAATATCAACCGAAAGCAGCATCTTTGAGTTTTGTGTGCACCTGGACAGGGCCGTTTGTAACACAGCTGGGTTTCCTCTCTGTTCCTCTCAGCCTCGATCTCAGAGGGACACGCTGCATCTCCTCCCTCCTCACACACACACACCCTGCGCCGCAACACCGAACCTGCGCCACAGCTCCGGGAACATGGTGACCATGGCGACCAGGGGCAGAGATCATCTGGGGACAAGGGAGTCAATATGATCAGGGCAAGTGTGAACTGTATTGCTGACATCCCTCTTCCAAGATAGTATATACTATATTTATCAAAATAACTTAAAATAAATAAATGATGTGCATCTGTTTTTGGTAATGGGCACAATCTAAAGATGGCTATGAATGAATGAAATTACATAATTGTGGCATTTTGTAACAAACCCAGACAGGGAGGAGTGTGACAGTCCTGGGTTTCTCTTTCCGGCCCGCTGCAGTGAGACCCGTTGTTCCGTGGGGGGGGGTTGATGCAGGCGCGGGTGTGAACCTGGGTGCCTCGTCCACAGGTCACTGAGCAGTCAGACCACACTGACCACGGGGTCCAACCACCGTCCACTGCACACAACACAAAGCACTTGGTTATTGGATAATTAGCTGAGTATAAAGTTGAACACATCTGCAGCTGTGCCCACATTTTCACACACTGTTTACTCTTGTCTAAAATAATTGCAGTGACCCACCTCTGCAGTCAATGTCTTGGCAGTAATCTCCCTCTGGGGTGCATGTGCTAGGAGGAAAAACAAATGTACAACATCATTTGAGTACTCATTTTCATTTTTTTGCAAACCCTTTATCAGCCAAATACACTTTTCCTCTATGTTTTTGTGCATCATTCTTACCATTGTTTACACTCGCCCTGCAGCCAACTGTCTCCCACTGAAAGCTCCTTGTCGTCATGGAGACAGAGAGGCGGGCAAGGTCCGGGGTCGCAGGATTTATGCTGGACTTCCTCAAACTGGCAATCTGCTCCTTCGGTTTCTGGGACCAGAGACCTGACACACAACAGACACAAAAGTCTTTTTAGAAATAATTTGTTGAGAGGTTGGGATGAACAGTTATTTATGAGTTGTTTCCCCTCACCTGTATCTGGTTCTCTGGCCCTGCCCACAGGAAACGCTGCACAATGCCCAACTGGACCAGGAGCTCCAGGTGCAGGAGGCCTGGCAGCTGTGATTGGTGCAGAAGAGCTGTCCGTCAGAGCAGCTGCAGTTGTTACAGTCCACCTGATGCACGCTGCCGGCTGCCCAGATCTGTCCCAGTGAGTCCGTACAGTCACACTGCCAGAGCTGCACACACACCCCGTCCTGCTGCAGCTGGCCTGGACACATAGTAAACAAAAGTGTACTATGTTAATAAACATAGGGTTTTTTAGCCTATTATTGCAGCAGCTGGTTTAGGGTCATAGTTACTAGCCCTGCATGCACTGAACTGAATATGATTGATTCCTCATTTACCAAAATAGAAAATATTTAGAATTTTGTCATTAACCTTCACCTGTTTCAAGCCGTGACAATTGTTTCATTTTTACTGATCCCGTTTTTTGACATTTCTGCATCAAATACAATACTCCCCGTTTGCATAACAACATTTAAATACCAGAACAGCAACATTTGCAAAAAACGACTCCAAGTTCTGTCTAAAGATGATGAACATATTCTTGAAAACTATTTTTTGATAGACCAGGGTTGAGCCAAAAAAATAAATAAAAAATAAACATTAGAACTTATAGAACATTTTGTGCTGTCATTTTATTGAATGTGTTTGGTTGTAAAATAACAGTATTCTCCCTGTATAACTTTAGGTTCTGTATTTATTTTAGTGTTTGATCAAATCAAATCAAATAAAATCAAATCAAAGTTTATTTATAAAGCACATTTAAAAGCGATTTTTGGTCGGGCCAAAGTGCTGTACATGTAATAAATACTACAATCATAAAAACACATTACTACAATCACAATAAAAGACAATAAATTACAACAGATATATAAAAAAAAAAAAACACAGGGAAAAGTCAGGAAGTCGTGCTCCGCTCTGACTAAAAGGCCAGGGAAAAGAAGTGTGTTTTAAGAGTAGATTTAAAAACCCCTAGGGTCTGGGCCGACCTCACATGGAGGGGCAGAGTGTTCCAGAGCCTAGGGCCAGCTGCTGCGAAGGCTCGGTGCCCTCTGGTTTTGAGCCTGGTCTTGGGCACTATCAGCAGCAGCTGGTCAGCAGACCTTAAAGCTCTGGCTGGGGTGTAGCGCTGGAGGAGTTCAGCTATATAGGCCGGAGCCAGCCCATTTAGTGCTTTAAAAACAAATAAAAGGAGTTTAAAATCAATTCGGAACCGAATTGGAAGCCAGTGCAGTGAGGCCAAATCTAATAAAAAGAAAATGTAAAAAACAGTTTTTCTCATCAGAACTTTATTTAAGGTATTTGAATGTAACATTTAAAGACAATGGATTTTGAAAAGAGAGGAAACATCTGTAACATTACAGTGTTTTCCTGTAAAATCTTTAAGGACAATTCCTGTATATTAATTGCACTTTATTTCAGTTAAAGTATTTTACTTTAATTTCTTTTAATTTTATGGTTTTTGTTTGGCAGTCATTTGACTGTTCTTTTACCTTTTTTTGCCCTTAGAAGTATTAGTGCTGTACTTTTATTAAAGGTTATTGAACCACTGCTGCCAGTCATTTGACAGTTTTTTTACGATTTTTTTTTTACAGTGTAGATACCATTATATATAATTTGGTAATTTTGTCGAACTAACCCTTTACATGGTTTATCCTAAATATGGCTTGACAGCACCCAGGCTCATTGATATACAGCATAGTTTGTTCAAATACACATACACTGTTGTTTATCTATCTAGGACACACACGTAAACACACACACACACACACACACACCTTTAGGGCAGCGGCAGCCGGGCTGACAGTCGGTGTTGCCCTGGCACTCGATGCCCTGCTGGAGGTCTGAGCAGCGCTGTGGACACTGGTTGGCACACGACACAAACTCCTGGCCTGGCGGGCATCCTTTCTCATCTGACAAAACACAAACAGAAGGTCATGAATTTGTTCCATGACGCCCCAGGCATTTTCTTTGCCTCACCAAGAATGCTATTCACAGCCTGTGGTGACTTTTGGAATACAAAGACTTGTCTCACCGCATGGTTTGGTGTTGCAGGGTTTGACCTGGTTCTTCTCTCCTTCACACTTCTTCCCCCCGTTCTTGGGCGGAGGGCTGGAGCAGGAGCGGGTGCGTATGGAGCGCCCCCCCCCGCAACGCTTATCACAGCGGGACCATGGACTCCAGCGAGACCAACCTCCATCAACTACAGCATCCACACACAAATAAACAGAATTAAATCAAGAGACATACAATAAGTTTTTTGCATGTTTTATAACAACAAATCACATACTTTAACCAAAATCATCATTCCAGTCTATCACAACTTCATATTTTACGCCATAGTTTCTAATGGGTATATGACAATGTTTTTAACAATGGTGTTGATATGTGGCAACCATTTGTTGGTCATTTCAATATTTTAAGAAACGAATTAACAAATAAATCAAAGCAGAATATCAACTGAATTTATTGGGGCAGAAACAGCATTATTAATAGTACAAAGTGTGTACTTTGTGCACTTAACTCAACAAATTAAGTTTGTGCACTTAACAAATGTGATTTACAACAATGCATAATGTGTGGGACAAACCTGAGGGCAAGGACTAAATAGTGGCGCACAGATAAAAAAATGTAATAGTCCAAATGTACTGTACAGTCACAGTCAGTCTTTTTCATGGATTTGCTATTTTGACTCTACATGCTGATCAGGCTGCTGACCTCTGCAGGGCTTGATGTTACAGAAGCGATGCTCCAGGTTCCCCCCCAGGATGTCTTCACACCAGGAGCCGTTGGAGCGGGGGCTGAGGAAGGTTCGGATCCTCTGCTGCTGACCCACCCCGCAGGACCGAGAACAGGAGCTCCACTCCCCCCAATCCTTCCAAGAACAGTTCCTCCCCGCACAGTCCGTCCCCTCACATACCTCGTCTCCATCTTGGAACATATCACAAAAGACATCATAGCACTTCACATTTTAGTAGGCAATATTAGAAGTAATATGTGTTGCCTCGTCTAATCAAATTGAGATTTCTTACAATAAGATATGTACAATATGTAGTTTTTTAAGTGAAAAAAGTTGGTAGGGCTCATTTAAAAAGCAATTAGATTAAATTAGCAGTTTATTAAGATTAAATTATAGTTCTAGTTAAGGCCATAAGAATGTCTGAATCATTGAATTTCATTCAAAAGCTAAATTGTTTCCCTACTCTGTTGCTTTTACACACATACTGTATACAAGTTACAAACTAAAATGGTGTTAACCCCCCATCTGGAATAAAACTTTAGATAAAATCCTAAAGTAAACACTCTATGCTCAGGCAAGATTTCGATAAAATCCGATCCTATGTACAAATAAAACTTCACAAGTATTGATCAAACGGCCTTCACGTACTGTACAGCTAGCGCGTTCTTATTTCTTCTGATGTCTGTGTGATCAAAACAGTAAATCAAAAAAAATAATCTGGATCTGTGGTCTCTGAGATAAGAATTATGAATGATTACAAACAAAGCCCCAAAAAGCAAACTTACAGATGTTACCACACTCAGTTTGTGTAGAAGTTTTACCAAGGAGAAATTGAAGATTAATACATCACATGCTCTCTAACACACTGGAATAATTAATTCTCTGTTGTCGGCTGTAAGCCCTTAGTGAGGCAGCTTTCATCTTATTACAAGTGTTGCAGTATTTTTGTAAAAATGTCACTGAGCAGTTCCTAACTTAATGTTCACACAGCCACTTTATCAACAACTAGGAACTACAATGCTCTACTGTTAGATACTGGAGTACTGGAAGTTGAGTTTCTATCCTAAAATAACACAGGATAACAATGTAAGTGAGCAGATGGTAAAAAAGGAAAGACTTAGCAGACTTCAAGGAGAGAAACTGTGAGAGGTCGTACCTGAGCACTGGGGCAGGTTACAGGCCTTCTCTTGGTGAGAGCTTCCAGAGCAGGGGGGTCTGATACATTGTCTGTGACGGGTCTTCATGGCCGGGCTGAGGGCATCAGTGCAGGTCTTAGTGCAGGGACTCCATACTGACCACGGAGAGAAGCCAGCATCCTCATCTAAAGAGCAAAGAGGAGGAAACAGGATGAAAAAAGGAAAGCATTTGAAATATTAATTGTTGATGTTGAGGGAAAATATGCTAGTATATAGGGTTGAAACTAAAAGTAACAAATCACAATAGCATGTACCATAAAGACACATACACTGTAAAGACCAGTAAGTGATGAAAGCAAGAGAAAACTCTATTTGTAGTTGCACTTTGAGTGAAGAGATCATTTACCTGGTAAAACCGGTTCTTCAGTCGGACCAACAACAACTGCAACAAGCAAAAAAATCTAAATCAGTACCAGCTCCGCTTTTTAAAAATCAGTATACAAACAAGCAGTTTATTGATCATGGGTACAGATGAGGGATACAGAATATCCCTTTATAATTCAATTTTCTGTTTGATTTAATTGACTGACTTGACACCCTAATCCTCACCTGTATTTGTTTTCCTTTATCCCTAAACACACACATTAAATACAGCACCACCTCAACTATCCACTGTACCTGGGCAGTCAGGGGCCTGGCAGTAGGTGGTTTCCTGGCGTGGCCCCTGGCAGTCCCTCCCTCCATGGGCTGGGGCAGGCTGGGTGCAGCTCTTGGAGCGGGTCTTCAGTCCCAGACCTCCACAGGACAGTGAGCAGGGGCTCCAGGGGCCCCAGGGGGACAGGCGGCCGTCAACTGGGCAATGCTCCAAGGAACAGTTCCACCTGCCATGTTCACAGCCGCTACAGAACAGAGTGAGGTGAGAGTGGTTTGAAGAGTGTGACTGGGAAAGCAGTCATCTCTATGGAAAGGTAACAGCTTCACAATTAGAAAACTCACTTCTTACTTAGTATGTGCCTTAAAGGTCTCCTATCATGCAAAATGCACTTTTTGATGTCTTTTATACATAAATATGTGTCCCCTGTAACCCTCTCTCTTTTCCTCCGTACCCAGATCTCTAAAAAAGGGGCTACAACGGAGCTGATCCAGATTTGCTGCCGATATGATGTAATATCTGAAATGTGGGCTGGCTTTACACCCACGGCCCTATCAGAAACGTCGCCATCAGAAACAATGCGCAACATCTTTTGGAAGTAATATGGTCTTTGTTTGCATTAACAAGCATCGCTAACACTCCGAGCTACTGACCCAGAATCAGCACTTCTCTAACAGGGCTGAAACAGAGGGATATGAGGGATGTCTAAAATGCATGATCTGTTTGGTATTTTGAGAAAAAAAACTTCATAGACATGCTTTTTATATATCCGAGACTTATAATATATGCCTAAAAATAGTATAATAGGAGACCTTTATATTTTATTTCAACCCAGGTGCCTCATTTTCATAATAAAACAGGACCTCAAACTAGGAGGTTTAATTAGACATTTAAGAACCAATATAAACCCTGTAATTGTCCAGCAGAAGAGGACAATATGTATTGTTGGCAAAGTGTAAATGAATAAAATATAGCACAGCTGCAAATATTCAGAACATGTTCTGCTCACCAAGTGCTGCAGTCATGGACCAGTGTGTCTCCAGGCTGAAGTTCCCCTCCCTCAGTGACGTTATGGAGGAGCAGAGAGGAGACAGGTGTGATAGAAACACTCTCCAGAGAGGCCAGGAAGTCCTTGTCCACCAGACAGGGACACTCCTGAAACACACACATTTTAATAAAAATGTTGTCTGGAAATAGGTTAAATGTTTCCTTTATATCCCTTCGTGTTGCCATAAGAAATGTTAGCGTTTCATGATATTTCATGACTTATACTTAAGTTGCTCAGGTGACAGGGAACCCACCTGCAGGCAGAGACCGTGGTGTTGGTACCTCTGGTGGGGGCAGTGGCAGCCTTCCTCACAGCCATCGGAGTAGCATCCCTCCCTGCCGCTGACATGAGCGCAGCTGAACGGACAGCCTTCCCCTCGTTCACACTCTCTGTACAACCTGCCAGGGGGGCAGCCCACTTCTGAACAACATAACATGCACACATTAAAGAAACTCAGAAAGGATACCCCGGATCTAAAGTCATTATAACTTTGATACCAGAGTGACAGACATTCTACAGCAAATCAGAACTCACCGAGGCAAACCTGGGTGTTGCAGGTCTTGCTCTGGCGCCTGAGCCCGCTGCAGGGGGGAGAGCTGCAGAGGCGAGAGCGAGCCTGCTGTCCTCCACCACAGCTGACCGAACACGCAGACCACCGAGACCAGGGCAGCCACGGGCCCACCGAGTCTGAGAGCAAACACTCAGATGTAACACATCATTTATATAAATAGTTATCACCGCAATAAACCGTATTTAATTTTGTCCTAATGTACATTATTTAATTTCATATTCTGTTCTTGTACATATCATATTCTATTTACAGTACATGTATATAGACTCCTTGCAATATTTTTGTATTTTTGTATTATATTATACATGTTGTATTGTTGGAGAAGCCCAGGTCAGAAGAATTTCATTGCCATTTCTACACTTCTCAACCTTTGAACTTGAACTCATGAAGAAAGAGTGTATATCTTTTTTTAAATATTTCTTTATCATGTTTTTGTTCAAATTTCCAAGAGGGAAGTTATTTTATTTAAAGGGTAATGTAAATCCACTCCTCTATTAGACGCCAAGCTGAGAGAAATACAGTTTAAGTTGAAGTTCTGCCTGAGTTCAAAACTCCAGTTCAAAGTTGGTTGGTCAGACAGGCCTACCTGTGCAGATGTGTATGTTGCAGTCTTTCTGCTGTTCAGCGACTCCCAGGCAGCCCCTCCCACTGCTCTGAGGGGAGGGGTTATTACACTGGCGTCTCCTGAACTTGACCCCCCCTCCACATGACAGCGAGCACTCAGTCCAGGCCCCCCATTGGCTCCAGCCACCATCAACATAGCAGCCAGGGACTGATTGACACTGCATCACCCCAGACTCGCATGAACTGAGATGAAAGATGACAGTCAATTATACATTAAACTGAATTACATTCTATATTAAAACCATTTAAATCTTAAGAGCTGTTCAGTTGTGCAGTACCAGTTTTTGCAGTCACTGATGATGCTATCTCCTGGTTCTGCAAACTGCCAACCAGATCCACCAGGCCATTCCCATGATGCATTACTGGAATATAGCCCGCTGAATGTCATCCCTATATCAGAGACAATATCTGATTAGACAATCTTAGTAAACACAATATAAAGACTTCAACTCATTTTAAATAAACAGATTGTGGATCCAACCTGTATCTGAGCTGTTGTGGTATTTGCAGCGACACTCCGCCCGGGCTACACACACTCCATCCTGCAGGAGCATGTCACCCGGACATCCGCAAGTCTGTGTGCACCCAGGTGAGTCCAAGCACTCTGTGTCGCTATGGAGATCTGAACAAGAGCGGGGACAGGGCTTCCCACAAGGCCATTCTTCCTGACCTCCACCACAGTCTGCAGAACGCAGGAGAAAGAACAGGTTTAAGAGAATTACCTCATCAAGTGGAGTGATGGGTTTTACGGTTAAATTGTGCTTTCTCAGAGTTTGTGAAATTGTAAAAGTAAACTTGAAACTAGCAGAGATGGGAAGTAACTAAGTACATTTACTCAAGTACAGATTTGAGATACTTGTACTTTACTTGAGTATTTCCACTTTATGCTACTTTGTACTTCTACTCAACTACAATTCAGAGGTAAATAGTGTACTTTTTTAGTTACTTTACAGATTTGGATTAGTAATGTGAAATATAATCAACTCTTAAATCAGACTTTAGTTAAACCTGGAGTAAATTCACAAGTAACCCCGGAGTAAACAAAGTAATTAAAACTAGCTGCACCTTTGCCAGCTTTGATAACACTTTAATGATCAACAATTATAAAACATATCTTTATATATGATTCTTAAATGGACCAATCTGCAGAATGAGTACTTTTACTTTTGGTACTTTAAGTATATTTTGATGCTAATACCTTTGTACTTTTACTTGAGTTTCATTTTATTCCTACTTTTAGTCAAGTAAAATATCTGAGTACTTCTCCCACCTCTAAAAACTAGTCACATTAGATCAAAAACAAATTCTCAATGGGAGGGCAGGGAAAGATCCTTAATTTTCCCTTTCCTTTATAAAAATGCACATTTTTATCTTTTCACATCCTTATCAGAGCTCAATTGTCATTCTCCATTCCTCATTTCCATCCAGTACCCTAAATTGAGGCGGTACATCAGTGTTTCTCAATATACACACGAGTCCTTTATTATGCTGACCAGAGCAGATGGTAGTGTTGTCATAGCAACCACGTCTCTGCCTGCTCTCCCCAAGACAGGGCAGCCCACCGAACTTGGCGGGAGGACTGTTGCAGTCCCTGGTGCGAGCGGACGACCCGGCGCATCCATCACACTCTGACCAGGGTGACCAGGGGCTCCACGAGCCGTGGACTAGAGAGAGAGAGAGAGAGAGAGAGAGAGAGAGAGAGAGAGAGAGAGAGAGAGAGAGAGAGAGAGAGAGAGAGATAGAGAGAGAGAGAGAGAGAGAGAGAGAGAGAGAGATAGAGAGAGAGAGATAGAGAGAGAGAGGGACAAAACAGAGACACAACAAAGTATGTATTATAGTGACTTAGCCAGAGATGGAGTACTCGAGTCCTGGACTCGGACTCGAGTCGGACTCGAGTGCCGATTTTCGGGACTCGTGACTCGACTCGGACTCCCGCACTGATTGACGCGACTCGGACTTGGACTCGTGAATTCTCGCGCACGATGACTTGGACTCGGACTCGGACTCGTGAATTATCGCGTACGCTGACTTGGACTCGGACTCGGACTCGTGAATTTTTCCCCCCATGATGACTCGGACTCGACTTGTACATTGACGCTCCGACTTGGACTCGGACTCGGACTCGAGCAAGTTTTCTATGGAGTCTGATGTCCTCTATCCTGGCGTGTGCACCGGCTGCGAGGCGAGTTCACGTACTGGGCCCCGCTATTCCAGTCTAAAGATGTCTAGAGACACACCCCGCATCGTGCTGTATGCTTTCACACATTCTGCTTCCACATTGGAAAAGAGCAGCGCAAAATGCTCTATGTGGAAACAATATTGAAGAGAAGGCTCCGTAACACATTACTCTAAACATCGAGTTCAGACATATAGGCTGTCTTGAACACTATCATCAGAGTAACGTCATCTAATCAATACATAAAGATTCAGCCGATAACACGAAAGCATATGGCTACTTAACATGCAAAATGACGTCATTTTGCATGCTAAGTAGCCATGTGCTTTCTGGGGCTAAATCTTTATCAGTAAACCGATTTAACCGGTAAAAGTTCCTTCAAAATAAGAGTCCCGATCTTATTATTATCAAAATAAAAGTGCAAAACGAAAACTTTACCATAGGAAAATATTGGCATACAAATATAATCACTTCTCTAAAAGGTAACTCATTTTAAACATAGTTTATATATAATAATAATAATAATATTAGTAATAAGCTTTATATTTGTATAGCACCTATTACAAGAATTGTAGCCAAACTGGCTTCACAGCAGTTCAATAGACAGATTAGTATAACATGACAGGATAAAAGCAATGTAGAGGAGCAGCTACATTTCAACACATATATCCATGAAGATTAATACATGAAGACTTGTGACTCGGACTTGACTTGGACTCTTCTTAGGTGACTCGGACTTGGACTCGGACTCGAACACAGGTAATGATGACTCGGACTCGGACTTGACTCGGACACTCCTTGGGTGACTCGGACTTGGACTCGGACTCGAACACAGGTAATGATGACTCGGACTCGGACTCGACTCGGACATTCCTTGGGTGACTCGGACTTGGACTCGGACTCGACTACGACTCTCCCTTGGTGACTCGGACTTGGACTCGGACTCGAAGAGTGGTGACTCGAGAGTGACTTGGACTCGTGAATTGGTGACTTGACTACAACACTGCTTAGTACTATATCTGTCTTCCTGTAAACAAGAAGTAGATCATAAGACGATACAAAAGAAAGAGATACAATTAAGGAGATATAAAGAAGAACAAATAGGAATAAAAGCTAAGAAAAAAGCCCTTATTATGTCATCATGGAGAAGAACCTTACTACACTACTTACTTCAACTACAGGAGTTACTGACAATGGGATCTGGAACATGTTTTCTTTCTGCAGTCACATACATTTTGGTTTCTTGGGGCTGAATAATACTTGAATTCAAAGCATCGTTCATTTGATCAATTAGCTTGAATTAACGTATGTTACTAGAAAACCAATAATAGTTGTACCTGGGCAGAAGGTGATGACAGGGCATGGCTGCCTCCGGATTTGAACTCCGACCCCGTTGTGTATTTCCTGTTCTCCAGAGCAGACCACTCCTCCAGCGTTGGGCTCAGGACAGCTGCAGCTCCTGTAGCGGGACACAGACTCCGCCCCACAGGTCCTTGAGCACGGAGTCCACTCTGACCACTCACACCAGCCGCCTGACACTGGGAACACACAGAGATGCAAAATCTACATTTATGGCCTTCCCTTGAAATCCTTTTCCCATTTAGATTTTCTTTTATTCAGAAATAGAGACAGTTTATTGCTCCTAATTTACTGCTTTCTGTATTGGTCTTACTCACCTGGACAGGGGTATCTGGTGCAGTTGAGCCAACCACCCTGACAGGTGCTGAAACAAGTTAAAATGTCAACATAAATATTTGACTATCCCTTCGTTCTGGATGAATCTATGTCAAATATAAATGTGTTCTTCATTTATAGTGTGTGGTTCTTCTCTGTGTATTATTCTGACCAGTTGTTACACCCATCAGGGGCTTCAGTGGTCTCCCCTGGTTCCAGCCTGTGTCCAGTGCTGAGGTCTAAGCAGGGACAGTCTTCCCGCTCCACACACACTGTACCGTTAGCAGACAGGATCTTTCCCTCTGTACAGTAGCACCCAGGCTCACATTGCCACTCACAGTGCTGAGGGAAAGACAGAAAATGACCTTATTATGACCAGATGTCTTCATTTGTATACATGACTTGATGTTTAACCAGTGGTAATGAGTCAGCTAGAGTCAGGATTAGTATATACTCACAGCCAGGTCATCACAGGAGCGAGGGCAGGAGGGGCCACAGCTACTGAACGCTGTGCCTGGGACCTTAGAGCATGGCGCCACTGGAAACATACACAAAATGACATATTTTTAAAACACTGACTAAGTATCGGCTGTATTGTGAACAAAACCAATACTGCACACACTCTGTAAACATACCTGGACAGTGGTTAGTGTTACAGGCTATGACTTCAGACCCCAGTCCCTCGCAGTAGTTCCCCTCCCCCTCAGGACGGGGACTGTCACACTCTCTCCTCCGGCTTTGAACCCCTCCACCGCATGACTTGGTACAATCCGTCCAGTTACTCCACCGACCCCACCCACCATCCCCTGGTAAGAGGGAACACATCATGATGAAGGGGTGAAAAACTAAAACAACTTCACAATAATAAAGATTAGTAACTAATACTTTATCTGTTCATATTTAGGACCTGAAAATAGGTGAATCATCAAGGAAGTGACAGTTATTTGGAGTACAGAATGTATCTGTCCAATACACAAGCGGTTTACATGGCAGTAAGAACACAAATAAAGTCATCTGTCCAACAAGTTATTTTTCCTTTAACACTGTACAACAAAATTGTAACCTTGGTTTATATTTTTGTTTAATTTCAGTCTCAATATAAAAAAACTAAATCATGAAAGTACAAAGAGACCTTTTGCAATTTAAACTGCTTTAATTCAAGTCAAATCTGAATGTAATGTTGTGGATTTGTAGATCATATGCGCTTTTATTTTCCAGAATTAACTATAAAAATATGACCAGTTGATCTCTATAATATACTAATATTGTATATTGATATATAACATTTAAATGTTCCTATCACACAACTATTGCCTGAACAAATAAAGTTTGCTCACACTGCTTTAAGTGTACAAATGCACGTGCATGTGTATGTGTTTAAGTGTACAAATCACACAAAACACAATCCAACTTAATGTAACAAAAAATGGTTTAGGCAGTTAATTTATGTAGGAGGCGGCTTGTTTTTTTTTTTTCTGTAGTGAGTGTGCAACTGGGAAACATAAACCCTGAATTAACTGTTCCTGCTTCAGCTTCCAGATGGTGTTCTGGAAACACAGGGGAGACTTCGATTTCCTCCAGGGCTGAAGTTAATGCTAACTTCTGGGATATACTGTACATTTACTACCACGAGACAACTGTACTGCTTCCCAGCCAACACCTGTCTGCTCTGACTGCATCCATCTTCTCTCTCTAGCTCTTTTTTCTCAAGTTGCCCGGAAGCATCAGCTTCAGCAGTTTCCCCAGAGACGACAAATGCACTGCTGCATCATTTGTGGAGACTCTGCTATAAATCAAGCGACCCATTATCGGCACCCTACTGTATTCATATGGCTTCTGAAAGCAACAAACACACTCCCATATGAGCTGTAAAAGAGGAACCTGTCCAACAGCAGCAAGATCTAGACAAGCAATCTCTCATATCCCTTGTTTATTTTCCATGACATTGGAAACCTTGTTCTCAGGGAGACACTGTAACTTTTTCACTGTCTATTTTCAATTGCAAGGCAATACAGGAAAAACCCAGAAACAAACTGACGGTCACATGAAGCAGCGAAGCAGACTTGGTCCTCTCTGTGAGAACCCAGACATGGCAGACCACTGCCCGAGCGCTGGGGGCTGGAACAGAAGCGGTAGCGAGACTGAAGACCTGCTCCGCACGACACCGAACACCGACCCCAGGGGGTCCAGGATGACCACTGACCATCCACTGGAGAGAGTGAGTGTTGGAATAGAATACAAAAATACAGCGTGGATCAAAAGAGGAAGAATTGCAAGTCAATCATGGTGAATGTTGTTTTGCATCACTACAGCTTCATTTTCACTTAGTATGGCGTTTCATATCGTCTATTTTGACTATTATTTATCAAGTTTGAAAAGTTAAGTCTTAGTGTAGTCACTTTACAATGAGCGATATTGGCATTGAAACAACCGTTGCTGTTATTCAAACAATGGGAAAAAAATACCTATTGTAACAATCATTTGTATAGCTATGAAAAGAAAGCACAGAAACAGTGTCTGTATTGAAGACACATTCAAAGCGTTTTGCCTACCATTGCATCTGACTTGAGAGCAGTTTACCAGCCTCCCTGCTTCACAAGTACTGAAATAAAAACGCACAAGTGAAATCGTTATTTAGATTTTTCTCTATATTCCAATGAAAGGAAGCACATGCTGGTGGCATTTTCCTCATTATGGCTCAAAGAGCAATTCATGATTTCAGGTTCCGTACCAGTTGTTGCAGTCTGATGGCACAGTTTCTCCTGGATGGTACTGTTCTCCATCCAAGTCACAGCGACATTTAGACTCCCCAACACACACACCATCCTGTAAATATGACAGACCAAGAACAGTAAGACCCTGATTACTGTGCATTTGTTTGTGCACATGTGTCTGTGGTAATCCCCCCCACCCACCTGTTGGACAGTGCCGTGTGGACACTGGCAGCCTGGTGTGCAGTTCCTGCCGAGGTCCATTGCGAGGTCTGTACAAGACACTGCTCCCTTCACACACTGCTTCCACTGCTGGCCTGGAGAACACACCCTGCCCTCTCCTGAGACAGCAACACACAGTCCAAGCAGAGAGCAATTCAAACATTCTCAGTGTTGTCAAAAACAAAAAATCATCATCATCATCACGATTTTTTGCATTTTACATGCTAGGATTTGATATCCTAGAATAAAACCTCCTATCTATTATTTTTGTAGGAGTTTTCCATGTTTCTCTATAAATGTGTCATAAATGTTTCTTCTTATTGTTATGGGCGGCAGTGGTCGGACCAAAACAATACGGAGTGTGGACTGGTAGTGGAGAGGACACCTAACCTCCAACTTCTCCTGGCGCCGGCTAGACTGGCTGTCTCTCCGTTCTGGACCTCTCAATGCATGTGCATGTGTGAATATATAACTGTGTGTATTTGTATCTGTATCTGTATGTGCATGTGCGCACAAAAAACACAACTGTGTGTATTTGTATGTACCTATATAAGAAGCATGTGCATGCATCCAAAAAACAGAGGGCAAAACTGAATTTACCCCTCGGGGGATAAATAAAGGTCCATCTTCTTCTTCTTGTTTACTCTTGCAAAAACTTGATTTCGTGCAATAAAAAAAATAACAGAGATTGTAGACTACATGTAGCTGTCTTATTGTACAAATGTATATATTTCTGATAATAAATATGACCATATTTATGAGAGTGTAGGACTTGCTGTACCACAGGCCTGCAGGTTACATGCGCTGAACTGCTGAGAGGTGCCGTGGATCCGGATAGGCCCGCGGGTCCGGGCCCTGTACCCTCCTCCACACGTCACTGAGCACGTCGACCACCCACTCCATGGCTCCTTCACACCTTCAGACACATCACAACTATATTTGATTCCTTTAGACTTTTTCACTGTACTTTTTATGTTAAAGTAATTTTCAAAACATGGATTATGTATACAATAACATTAGCAACAAAGTTATTCTACTCACCGAAGCATGGTTCAAGGCTGCAGGTATCAATTCCGACTCTGTCTCCTCTGCAAGGACGACCCCCGAAAGCTGCAGGAGGATTGGTTCCCGAACGGTAACGCCTTCTCACCCCGACATCACATGTTCGACTGCAAGCGCTCCACTGGGTCCAGTCGCTCCAGCCACAGTCCACTGAGACACACAGGAGGATAAAAGACAGAAAATGAGACACAAATGAGAAAAAAAACTTAAAGAGAGCAAGAGAGAAGAGTAAAAGGTACATTTAAATCTGCACTTCATAAATAAACAATCACTCACCAGGACAGGAAGCTGCTCCGCACACCATTTCTCCATTCGTGCAGGTACTGTTTGAGACACACAAGAACAGGACAAATGATGTCTGAGTTAAGAAATGACAGTCGATTCCAACTGAAACCAATATTATTAACTCTCGGGCACAATTTGATAAATAATTTGTAGATAAAAGTGTTACATTTTTTATTTTACACGAAGATTAGTTTTGGCCAACAGTACCAGTTATTGCAAACATCTGTCTCAAATTCAGGGCACTATTATTATTTCGAGGCAAATTCATTATGTGAAATTAATGAATTTTGAATGTATTATTATGACTAGCATTTCAGTGTAAGAGATCATTAATACTTTTTGCATGGCACTTCAAAATCAAATGCCATATAGTATTAAGAAATGGAAAACCCAATCCAAATCCTCTTAATTATTCATTCACTGTGACACTGTGTCCCATAATGACCCTCAATCTAAATGATTATAGATGACAATTATGAGTTTTGGCCAACAGTACCAGTTATTGCAGGCATCTACAAGCAGGGTGATCCCGGCTGGGTATGTCCCCCCCTGGTGGTAGCAGGGGCAGTGGGCCAGGGGCACACAGCTGCCGTTGAGCAAGTAGAAGCCCGGGGCACAGTAGCAGCCGTCGTAACAGGCGGTGGCACACTCCACCTCTGCGGGGGTCATGTCCAAACACACCCGTGGACACGCACCGCCGTGAGCCTCACACTCTGCTGACGTCATGTTCACCATGCCCTCTGGACACACACCTGTGAGGAGTGGAGTGGAAGTAAAGACTGAATATATTAAACAGGCATATACAGGTGTTTATCTCTCATATCAGAAAAGGAAAAACTTCAAAACAATGGGGAAAAATGGAAGACATTTCAGGGAGAGCAACAGAGGAGGGATCCCTCTCCCAGGAGAGACAGACGTGCAATAGATGTTGTTTGTAAATTAACAACGTATAAAAACCTCACCTCTGGTCGGCAGAGAACTCACTGCTACAGTTTGAGTTTCTCCTTTCTTACCTGTAGTATTTTGGATCCTGTTGTATTTTTGAATTTTTATTTTCATTATCCAGAATATTTTACATAGTTTTGTTTATATTGTTTTTATTTGATATCATAGTTTTCATTTTTTCATTTTATTTATAATTGTTAATTCTCTTTTACCGTTTTTTAAAGTATATAAGTATTGTATTATAAAGTCTGAACACACTTCTGCGACGAAAGAATTTCCCAAATTTGGATCAATAAAGTTTTTATCGATCTATCTATCTATCTATCTATCTCTATCTATCTATCTATCTATAGGAGCGAGCGCGAGGATCGGAGCGAGCGAGAGAGCGAGCGAGCGAGCGAGCGAGCGAGAGCGAGCGAGCGAGCGAGCGCGAGGAGGCGAGCGAGCCGAGCGAGGCGAGCGCGCGAGCGAGCGAGCGAGACGAGCGAGCGAGCGAGCGAGCGAGCGATATCGATGCGAGCGATCGAGCGAGATGCGAGCGAGCGAGCGAGCGAGCGTAGCGAGCGAGCGAGCGCGAGCGGAGCGAGCTAGCTAGCGAGCTAGCTATGCTCTATCTATCTGATCGAGCTATCGCTCGATCGATCTGATCTATCTATCTATCGATCTATCTATCATAGCTGATCCGATCTACTATCTATCTATCCATCTATCTATTTATCTAAAAAGATAATACATTTACAACAAAGATAGTCCAAATGCTTGAAGAATGTATGTGTCTATAAGAAGAAGATGAAGGTGGATCCAGGTGGATGTCAACGATCACACAATGCAGTACCTGAGCAGGGGTGTGAGTTGCAGTCTCCTGTCTGAATGTGTGGCCCCGGGCAGCTGCTGCCCCCATGCTGTGGTGAGGGTGAAGTGCAGAATCTCTGTCTCGTTTGGACGCCAGAGTCACACTCTGATGAACACTGAGACCACAATGCCCATGCTGACCAGCCGCCGTTCACTGGAAGTAAATAATAACAAATCAGCTTTTCTTTCCAACATTAAATGATGGGAATGAAGATGAACATCTTTCGTACCTGGACAGTGTACAGTGTTACAAGGCTCTGGCTCCTCGCTGTCTCCATCGCAGGCAGAGTCAGCGTGTGTATTGTTGAAGTGTGTGAGTGTGTGGTTGCAGCTGCGGAATCGCCGTCTGATTCCGACATCATCTACATGGTTGAAACATGTCTTACTGCACTCTGACCAGCTGGTCCATTTACTCCAGACTCCATCTGGTAACACTGCACAAGAGGAGGATAAAGTCATTATATATGCAAGGCATTTACAGAACGAGGATACTACCATGAGACTTGCATTTCATTATTTGAAGGCTTAACTGTTATTTTTCATGAAGTGAAAGTCTTTACACCTAATTAATTACTTATTAAACTGGCTTTATTATACTGTAAAGCCCGATACAATACATCAACAGTTAGTGGAGAGAAGCCCACAAGGTATTGCAAATGTAGGATAAGTCATTTTTTGGACACATTGTATATATTTTGTTAAGCGCAAGATCCACTGCAGCACTTAAGTCCCACATTTAAAGGATTTGTTGCATTATAGATCTAATGTAACAAATGTAAAATGCCTTAAAAGCAACATATAACACTGCAGTACAGTACAGTGCAGTACATGGGATGTGAGTTTGTATACCTACCAGGACGGCAGGGCGGGGAGCAGCGGCGGACCTCAGAGGAGTCTCCGGGACACGGTTCGACTCTGACTGCTCCAGCTGGGTTCACTGGAGACCTGAGGAGAAACAGACAAAGCATAAAGACTCCCGATACAGATTTCATAAGTGGTGTGTGAGCCGTAGAAAAGCATCTGTTCCTAACTAATTGATAGTGCATTAACTTCACAAAACCTGTAGGGAAATTACACACAGTAAATGATTCAGTGAAATAATGGCATGGCACATCAGGATAAAATAAATATATGCAACCAACAATTGAAAAATGTAATTGAAAACGGAATTATTGATACAATTCAAAATCATCACAGTTCTGTTAAAAGAAGTCTAGTAGAGAGTGCAATGAGGCAGGGATGAGCTTTGATAGCTTTATGAGTAAGATGCTTCATAAATGTGTAAAATGAAACAGGCTCACCTGTAGCGTTGCTGGAGTCCCAGACCACAGGTTACATCACACGGTGACCACGACGACCAGGCTGACCAATGACAGGCCGCCACACAGAGGGAACTGTCACAGGTTACTTGTCCGTCTATGCACACGCTGATGGAACAAAAACCCAGCAGTCAAATGATCTGAGATATTGCTATTTAAATGTACTGTTCTGAAAGATTTAGATTCTAATAAGCATTTTAGAAATAGCATCAATTAGGCAAAACAAGGCATGCTTTCAGAGTGGAAAGCAAAAATAAATATATCTTTGTCCCTCACCATGTGGTGCACTGGTCCCTGTTGACGGTCTGTCCTGGCTGGAGTGTGTGACCGTGCCACAGACACACACATTGGCTGGAATTCACACAACGCCCACCCTGAAGGTACTGATCATTAGGACAGCGACACCCTGGAAAATAAAGATTTGATGTCTTAATTAGCATTTCAGCTACCACTGAACTAGCCTTCGTTAACTATTATCATTCCACAAGCTTCAGCACAGGTTTGTGCATTTTAAATACCCTTATCAAGATAAGGAAATAATGATCAATAGCCATCAATTAGTTGACAATGGACAACAGATTATTTGATTTATTCCTACTAGATTTGATAGAGTTTCTAGTGAATTGTATAGTGCTCATTTTGACACAACTTAATTTGAAAAGTAACAGACCTGATTGATTCTGGCAACATTAACCAACCACAACTAAATGCATGTCTCCAAAATTACTTTTAATCTTGACCATTTTTACAATAACAGCAATTTCAAGTCATTGTTATGTCTCTCTCTCTCCCGGGCGCTGTACAATAGCTGCCCACTGCTCCTAGTACTAGACTCCTGGTACTAGGATGGGTTAAATGCAGAGGCCAAATTTCACTGTGTGTGCTGTGTGCTCTGCATGTGTGCTCTGCATGTGTGACCATTAAAAGAGGGTTTCATCCCTCCCAATTCTATTCTATCTATCCATCTCAATTTGTAAAATTAATTAATGTTGAATATAGACTAGACTAGCATTTCAGTGTAAGAAACCATTAATAATTTGTGCATGGCACTTCCAAATCAAATGCCATATATCTAGTGTAAATAATTTAAAATCTAATCCAAATTCTCTAAATTATTCATTCACTGTGACACTGGGTCTCAGAAATGTAATCAAAATGACCCTCAATCTACATGATTATAGTAGAAAATGATGACATCACTCTAGACAATTGATTACAAAATGACACCGTACCCCCTCCTGTGTGTCTTACCAGGTACACATGCTGCAGTGCAGTTGCTGGACGAGCTGAGATGTGAGCAGGTAGGAGGACAGGGCTCCACCCGTCCAGCCTGGCAGTCAGCCTCTGTCACCAGCACCATCCCCTCCACACAGCCTGAACAAACAGGAAGCAGATGTAAGGCAAGGCAAGGCAAGTTTATTTATATAGCACTTTTCAACACAAGGCAATTCAAAGTGCTTTAAAAAAACACACATTAGAAACATTAAAAAGCAAAGATAATAAAACATGAACACGGGTACATGAATAAAAGTCACAGTGCAGTGTAAGATATGAATAGTTAAATTAAAAACAGCGGCAAAAATAAAAGCCTTCAGCCTGGATTTAAAAGTAGTAAGAGTTGCAGCAGACCTGCATGTTTCTAGTTTGTTCCAGATATTTGGTAATATCCCTAACCAAATTATCCCATTCCTCTACTTTACCCCTAGTCTTTCCGTGAAATTATAGTTCTTTTGACACTTTTCTAACCTTTTTATATTCCTTTCATCCTTCTCTTTCATTCATTTTGCGACACATTTCCCCTGTTTTACTGTCACCCGAACCCATCTTTGACCTTTAAACCACTTTTCTTTTCAATTTCCAGAATTAGGATATTTAAACCTGTTTTAAGACTTTGCTCATGAATGAATCTGAATGTAATTAGAATTGGATATAAATCAAACACCGGCAGAGTTTGACAGTCTGCCCCACCTGTCTGTGTTCCGATGTCTTTGGTGCAGGGCTGGCTGTTGCAGCTCTGGCTCTGCAGGGTCATGCCCCCACAGTCCCGCCCACCGTTCTTCGGAGGAGGATCGGAGCAGCTTCTGTTCCTCTGCCTGACACCCCCTCCACACTGAGCGTCACACTCGGACCACTCGCTCCACTCTGCCCAGTGACCATCAACTACAAGAGGAGAAGAACCATGAAATCAGAAACCTGGTGCCGTCTGGCAGGCGGTACCGCAGTATCAGGTCTCAAAACCACCAGACTCAGGGACAGTTTTATACCACAGGCCATAAGACTATTAAACACCTGAACTTTTTAAAGAACATCCATAAACATTCATCTGATTGCATTTTGCCAATTATTTATCTAATAAATCCTTCCATTTACTTGTATATAGATTCTTCTTGCACTATTTATATTTTATTTGTATTTACTTGCACATCTCCAAACATTCTCTTGCACTATTTGATCTGTTTTATTTGTTCTATGTCCTATATATATGTTGCAGTGTTGGAGGAGCCTGTGACCGTATACGTTTTTCATTGCCATATCTACACTGTAGCTAATATGCTAATGACAATAAGGCCTTGATACTTGAAACTGGTGTTATATGAAAGAAGCGTCTTGTTTGACATCAGATTCAGGGAACAGACCTGGACATGCTCGAGGGAAACAGGCTCGACTATCAAACTGAGCTCCACCACAGGCCCCTCCTGGCAGAGCCTCCCTCAGAATGTCCCTCTGCCTGAACAAGGAGCCCAGACCACAGGACACACTGCACACACTCCATGCTGTCCACGGGGACATGATGCAGCCCACTATACAGGAGAGGAAAAAATGTGGCAGAAATATCAGAATATCTCTCTTCTGTTTTGTCTTATTACCACTTTTACAGTGTCCTTCTATCTTACCACAGTCTTTCTCATCTGATCCATCCACACAGTCCTTCTGCAGGTCACATCTGCGGTCCAGGTGAACACATTCCCCACTCTTGCAAGAGAATTGTTTGTGTGAGCAGGGGCTCGGCACTTGGGGGGGCCCGTGTGGTCACTGCAGGTCTGGCTGTTGTGCCTGATAATACAAGGGAATACAATAAAATAACAATTCTAACACACAGTCTTTCCAGGAACTATACATCAGGTATTTTTTTCTTTTATATTTTGCATTTCTGTGAAGTTCATCATTAAAAATAAACATGAATGCATTTTCAATAAGATCAATAACAGCTATTTTACATATTTTTCTGTGCTTTCACTAATCTTCCCCGCAACAGTTTGTTGATGCATACCACAGCGTTCTTCATCCGACCCGTCCAAACAGTCCCGTCTGCCGTCACACACCTGTGCCGAGTCGACACAGCCAAAGGACCGGCACACAAACTGGCCTTCAACGCAAAGCACCCTGGGTTTACCATCATCATCGGGGGTTGTAACGTTCCATGAGGCTGTAAATGAAAATATTTCTTATATGTCAATTTGTGTCTCTTCTGTACAAGTGTTAATCAATGGGTCCTGCCTGGATTATGGATAACTAAAAAAGGCTGTTTTGTGTCTCACTTGTTGTGGTTTGCAACCCAGGTTTTCCAGAAGAGCTTGTGGTGAGATGCAGTCCAGGGTGACCTGTCGTGACCCCTGGGAAGATTAATGTTTAGAATAATCAAACATCACTTGCAACAGGCACACATAAAAGGGGGGTTAAAACCCAACGGCAATCAGAGAAAAGCAGACTTTAACAACCATTGATTGTACCTGTACTTGGAGTTGTTGTGACCCCAGGGCTTTCAACACCAGGAATGCCACCTTGGGACCTGGTGGTATGGAGGCCTGGGGCACCTGTTGTACTGTCACCATGGAAACCTGGTCCCCCTGAGGAGCTGGTCTGGTTTTGCAACCCTGGAGAGCCTTTGGTTGGAGCCGTGCCTGAGGAAGAGAAATACAAAAAACATACATTGATAAGGAAAATAGTCCAAAATATACTATGTATTTCTTGACTCATCTGTAAGATAAAGTGCTTTCAATCACAAGTAAGGCAACTCAAATGTGGTGAGGATTGAAAAGAAGATTACAAATTGACATGACCAAACATGGCTCAGGTCTCACCACAGTTGATCTCGTCAGAGCTGTCTTTGCAGTCCGGTCTACCATCGCAGAGCACAGAGACAGGGACGCACTCTTCACTGTGCTGGCAGGCAAACAGGCCTGGCTTACAGCGCTGCACCGTCACTCTCCCACCACCAGAGGGGGATGTGGTCACCCTACTGGGGGTCACCAGCTCATCTAAAATAACAGGAGGAGAGGGTGTATCATGTTAACGGATGTAAAGTAGGGCCAGCCATATTTCTCTAAAACAAATAACTCACTTATAAGCTAGTAAACAAGAAGAAATTCTGAAAATTCAGATTTTTATTATTTAGTTGTATATCATTTCTTTTTACGTTGTTTTAAAAAATATTTTAATCGTTAAACATTTATTAGAATTATGACTATTATCTTTTTATTTGTATTTCTGTTGTACCTATATGTTCACTTTATTTGATAGGGTTTTATATTGTTGCATCTATTCACTTGTCTTGTGTCTTATCTTTCCGAGATAAATCTTTATTGTATTTTATTTTTGTATTATCATACCTTTTAACTCCTTGTGTCTCTTAACCTGTTAAAATGTTATATTTTGCTGCATGCATCTGTAAAGGTTCTAACATCTGATCTGAGGGGATTTTTGTTGTTGTTTATTTTTAACTTGTGATGTGTGCCATTTTGTAACGCACTTTGAGCTGCACGTGATGTATGAAAAGTGGTATATAAATAAAGCTTTATTATTAGTATTATTCATTTGATTCCTCACCTCCTCTGCAGCCGAGGATCTCCGCCCGCAGGTAGAAGGTGTGTCTGAACTCCACAGGGATGATGCGCAGGTAGCGAGCTCTGACCAGCCGCCCAAGCCAGCGGGTCACGGGGGTCCTGCCCACCATCCGCACCTCAAACACCTACACCACCACAGAGAAGATGTGGATTGTCTTAGATTTAACTTTCTCATATGGGTATGTATCTATAAACTGGAAACACAGAGTCGAAATGTCCAAATTAGAAAAAAAGACCTTATCAGGACCACCCGGCTGCCCATCCTCAGTATAGTCTGTGAAGAGGCTGCTGTGCAGGGCGAAGGCCAGGCGGTATTTGGTGAGGTAACCCCACATGCGTTCACTGCCCTGGGTCACCACCCCTGATACCCACATGGGCTCCAGGAAGTCCACTTGAAAATATGGCTTGGGATCTGTAGGTAAGGGGCTCCATCCAGGCTCCATAACCTGACTGCACAGAGGATATGGTTTGTTATTTTTCTGTATGCTTTATATTGTTTTGGTTTTTTAAATTTTTTTTGTGTTCTTTCTGCGATATTGTGATGTTGGGTTTTTTCTTTCCAGTATTCATTATCTATCAGATCACTCACACATTAGGGACAATGTTAAGTCGTCCAGCATCAGCAGGGTTGTTTTCCCGATAGGAGGATGAGGACAGCTGACCATATCGAATCCTCCCATCCTCCAGGCCAAGGGAAGAGGAGCAGATGCCTGCAAGAATATCATGATTTTTATAACCATTTAACAGAGCCAGTTTGGCAAACCGAACTATGAAAACAAACAAAAATTAAGTATATGGCTTGCGGTAATATATTTTTTAAATGAACTGTTAATGAATGAATGTGAACTGTATTTACACTCACCACGATATCCTGGGACACCATCCTGTAAATACATTAGAACATAAGTTAAATGTATATTGATGTGGCTTATTCTGTCTGCAGGTCTTTCAGTGCCAAGATGGGTGGAAAAACAAAAAATAACGTTTTTTATACACCTTTTCAACTACATTTTAGCCGTTGAGTATTATAATAACAATTATTATTACTTGACTGAGTATGTTAAATGTTAATATTACTTAAACAAGTAAGTTTTATAATTTTAAGGCATCCATAGTCATCACTGTTAAACTGATCTGTGTTGTACTGTATGCTGCAAAAGGGTGTTTGTGTATTTGCTTGTATGTCATTTTAATGAACAATGTTTGAATCAAATGTATCATATCTGGTAAACCCTTTGTTAATTATTATCTTAGGTTTAAAAAAATCTTTGGAAATAAAAGAAGTAAAAAAAGGCATAAACATCAGTGACGAAGAAATTAAGTATTTTGAAAATCTGATGATTAATTTAAGTGTTCGTCTACCGTTGGTGTTACTGCAGGATGAGTAACAAAAGCTTTGGATGGAGTCCTGAGAGGAGCTGGGGTGGGTGTGTGTGGTCTGTAAATAAGCACACAACCATGAAAATGAGAAAATACCGTAACATAATTTACTACATCTATTATTAGCACCACTATGACAATAATGCATTTTACCTGTCTGACTGGGTGGTGATGTTTTCATAGTAGTGGCAGCCAGTTTCATCCTCTCCTTTGGGACAGTTGGGGATCCCATCACAACGCTGCTTTGCCTCGATGCAGCCCCCTGGTGGTGGGCAGGAGAACTGACCGGCAGGACAGCTGCGTGGACTGATAGGGGTGGGGGATGGCTGCGTACCTACAATTGAGTAATGGTCAGACTAATTCAAAATGGTTTCCTTTTTGAAAATAAATGGGGAAAGAGGGGATGACATGCAGCAAAGGGCCATGCGTGGGATTCTTCTACACTAAATGAAACTGAGGTGTGTTGTGAAGTGCTCACCACAGTATAGCTCATCTGATCCATCCCCACAGTCATTGACTCCATCACACACCACTCCCAGTGGACCTGCTGGCACACAGCGACCGTTTTTACACTGGAACTCTTTTTTTCTGCAGCCACCTGCTGGGGTGACTCGGGAGGGAGGAGTGGGAGTGGTCGACCAGTGGTTACCTGTTGGCCAGGAGACGAGAGCAATTAGGAATCTCATTTGTAGACAAAAATCATAAGCAAAGTAGCATTAAACTATCTCCTTACTATCTCCACAGCCCATGATCTCAAGGCGAAGGTAGATGCCGTTCTGGAAGTCGTGTGGCAGCAACCGGACAAACTGAGCCGACACCATCCTGTCCAGCCGGCTCTCTGCCACCCCGCCGTCATCATGGTTTCCATGGAAAACCTGAAGGGAGAGTAAAAAATACATCAATTACAAAATATGTAAAAGCAATGGCAATGGGCCTTAAATGCATGTGATGGAGAGTAGAATGGATTTGGTAGGTTTTGTTGTCTAACCTTGGCTCTGGGACGGGCATCAGTAACAAGCTCTTTGTAAGTGTACCACCGTCTGCTGTCCTGGCTAAACTGGAGGTAGAAGCTGGAGACAAATGTGCCAAATACACCACCACCCTGGGTAAGCACACCTACAGGAGGGGGAGAGATGAAATGTGTTTATATACGGTATATAATCTCATGTTGGAATTGGCAATTTAGTAAACCAGTATTGCTGTGTTCGGTGTTCTACGGCATCCGCATGAATGTTTACCGGTGATGTTGTATGATTTCAGCAGGTCTATCTGTAGGTACGGGCTCTGTGTGGTGCTGGCGTGTCCCTCAGGCCTCCGCTGTGGTAGGTCCTTATACTCCTCTGGTTCTGGACTCCAGCCCTGTAGATAAAGATTGTTGTAGATTACAAGTAATGTTGCAGCAGGATGGTAGAGATTGGGAAACTTCCCATGTTGTAGACTTGAAAGCGTTAATTTCATCAAGATTTGTGTCAATACAGAGTTGGCTATTTGCAAAGCAAAATACAGTTTGTTGACAGCATTATATGTTAGATACAATCTTTGGCATCCATTGTTTTTAGTTACAAGCACTTTAATATTAGTAGCTGCCAAATTTGATATAGAGCTTTCAGTTTAGTTTCCCAGTTTTATTCAGAGAATGACTTGGAAGTTAACGTAAAAAAAACTCCAATACAGACAGTATTTTTGCGAGATTTTGTGTATTATTGGACCATTAAAGAATTAATGGCATTTCATCTTACACATATCAAGTCAATTCACTCAAAACCAAACGTTTAATGCTGCTAGTGACCTAAAAGGTAAACCGAGAATCACCGAAAACAGCCGAGATTAAAATCAGCTTGGTGTACCTGAAGGTCTGTATGGGGGTCCCGCCAATGGAGGCGGCCTGCCTCAGGCGGGTGCCCAGTCTGCTGTGACGAGGCTCTGAAACTGGAGGCTGGGAGGGTCTGAACACCCAGAGGAGACCAACACTCATCTAAACACAGCGAGAGGAGAGGTAAGATAATATTACAATGAGTGGAAGTAAATAAACCATTGAATAAAAGTCATAGAAAAAAATATGAAATGGTCTATCTCTACCATAGACTGTATATATACTGTAAAGATCTCTACCTGGGAAATTGCATGACCAACTGATCATTTGAAAAGTACACTAACCTCCAGGAGGAAGTGGATATGTTGGAACCAGAGGTGTAGTGCCCTCTGCTGGCTTGGAGGTCACAGTGACTGGACTTATTGTCACAGTGATGGTCTCATTTCCTCCTGTAGAACAGAAAGGTTCATGTTAGAGAGCACTCGCTTTAATATTGCAGTATTTGAAACATTGAACTGGAGTTTATATCTAGAGTGCTTTAGTTTTGTCTTTGAAGGATTGAATTAGTAGGATTTCTTACTGGAAAAGTTAGATGCCACCTATCACAGTGCTCTGAGATTTGTTACTAACTGTAAAGCACTTACACATCACTGTACCCTGTATGCCAAGACAGGTCTGCCTTCACTAACTGTACGGAGGCTCAGTCATTGGTACATGTTCATCTACAAAGCCATGTTGGGTAAACTACCTTCTTATATCTGCTCTCTGATCTCTCGACGAATTGAAAGTACTTATTGCCTGAGATCTCATGATGTAGTTTTATTAAATGTGCCAAGTGCTAGGACTGTCTTAGGGAAGAAAGCTTTTAGTTGTGCAGCTCCACTAACTTGGAACAGTCTGCAAAAATGTTTAAAACTGAGCACTTTGGTTCCCCTGCATCATTTTAAAACTCGGCTGGGTGACATGCTGTTTGATACTCATGGTACTGTACCTGTCACTGTAAATAGAGTTTGTAAACTGTACCCTGTAATTTATGTTGTATGTCGTCCTTATTGTTGTTCTGTTGTTTTTATGTTACATGTGTAACCAATGTGCTGCAGGTCACCCTTGAAAAAGAGATATTTTGATCTCAAGGGGCTTTCACCTGGTTAAATAAAGGCTACAACCAAACAAATGAACTTATCCTCTTTTCAAGTGTTCAAGTTAGTAAAAAAACGAACTATATAAAAAACTAATTCAGGTACACTTGAGATATGTCTACAGTATATTCACAAGAAGAGGGGAGTAAGGGTTTGCCTCCTTGACCTAAATCTAAAGAAAAAAGGATACCAATATGGAAAAAAAGGATCCTAAATGTCAGAGATGAAGTTGGCATCAATGTCATCTTTGACATTTAGGATCACTTAGTGAGAACATTGGTAACGATTGATTAACTTGTGTTTAATTTGTGAAGGAAAAATGATGTTCATCATTAACCAGGAAGACATTTGTTTAGCATAGATAGCAGAACAACAGTCCCGATTTTACCTTGGCAGTAGCAACACCTGTCTCCCTCTCCAGGCACCAGATCCTGGCCCTGCACAAAAAAACCGACATTTAACATTTGATTAGGTGACACATTTGGTTTAAGTTGCTATGGAACACAACTATGTGGAGGTAGAAGAAGCAGAGCTGTTGATAAGACTATTTCCATGAGATAAGATTGAAACAAAAGAGCATTTAGCACACATGGTCAAATACTCATGTACCAATGTTTTGCATCATATTTCCATTTGCGTAATGGCTACATACTTACAAACTACATATCGCAGCCACTTTAAATGAAAATACACATGAGACACGCACACACAAAAAAGACACTCTTACCTGTGGACATCCACTGACAGCGTGAGGACAGTAGGGGGAACACTGCACTGTGAGGTTGGGTAGACAGTGACATAACTGGCAGGGGTCTGACCTCCATCTGTCTCCCACAGCGTGAGACTGACCCTGGTACTCACAATCATCACAGGGGTCTGTCTGGCACCTGTGGACACACACACACACACACACACACACACACACACACACACACACACACACACACACACACACACACACACACACACACACACACACACACACACACACACACACACACACACACAACACACACACACACCACACACACACCACACACACACACACACACACACACACACACACACACACAACACACAATGTAAAATACATGCTAGAGTATTGGAATACATGTGTGTTTGCCCAAACAGGCAGGGCGGTAGACAAACACACAAAATGAGACTTCTTTAAGGTTTGGTAAATGTAATTGATAGCATGGGATAGTTTGTCATCTTGATGTAACTTCAATACGTTTCATCTTTGAAGGATCCTTAAAATGTACAGCAAATATAGCAAACTAGTCAGTTATTGCTCTGTGTTATATCGTGCAACTATTTAATAAGATCTCCTGTGGAGACCATGAAGTTGGCAGTACATTTTGATTAAAATTGCTTATTTTCTTTAAAGGCCCGGACACACCAATCTGACAACAAAGAACTGACACAGACGGACCCCGACGCCTCGCGTCTCTGCGTTTTGGCCATGTGTCGCACTGGAACACACCGCAAAGACTTCAGCCGACGGCCAAGAAGCACGTACAAACTGCGCATTGAAGTAAGAAGATATGATTCTACATTATATTGAAGTAAACATGTATTATTTTGAACTGTTTTAGATAATCACTTAGAAAAAGAATGTTATTCTCACTTTTAAATTCACTGGCTCAGAGATTCTGTGTTTCAACACACCAACATCCTTATCATCCCTAAAAGCCAGATGCGGTCATTAAGTCGTTAAAGACACATCATTAAATAGGTGAGGAAGAGTTTAAATGTCGGAAGGAGGGAAGGTTAGGTGAAAATATCCCCTGGGAAAGGAATGTAGAGTAAGATAAGGTAAAGATAAACATTGACTTTTGACCTTATGGAACTTTATGGTCCGAACTCTGATTGAACCAGACCAGAAGCTAATCCAGCCAATCAGGACACTTGGGGGAGGTGGTCAGCTTAAACAGCTCCTCCCCAGGGGTTCTCTAATTCGCTTGGGAGAAAAGTGGGAAGGAAGAATCGACAAATCTCCGCCCCAAAGACAGATAGAAATACTGACGTTTGTGTGTGTAAAATTGCTTTTGGGTTTGGTGAGTTTGTTGGTTCCGATATCTGTGTCCGCATCGAATCACAAACTTGAAGTCCAATTTCTTCTCGTTTGATGAGTTTGTCTGGTCCCGATGCATTTATCCGCATCGCATCACAAATCTAAAAGCCCAGAGTACTCGAGTACTCTGTATAACTTGTATATGTGTTTGGTTTCCTACTAGAAGTAAACTCAGATAATTTGTTATAACTTTGATTCCGGTGTTTTCAATTCCTTTCTTAATTTAATAGAGATCCAGCCTCATCCAACGAACGGCGCGTAGCAGAGGTATTCTACTCCAACAGCATGCGTGAGTGGCAATAACTCTCCTTACCAGCAGGCGGCGGTAGTGTGTATTCGTCATTCAAAAGAGGCAACAACCGGAAGACAGACTGCGTGATAACCGAGAGAAGAAGAACGTGATATAAACAAACAACAAATAGCGTGTGCGTTCCATTTTCACTCTACAACGAGAAGCTCATGGGGCTTTCCCGAACCTGTGTCGAGAGCTGGATAATCAGCCTGGTTTGTCCGTGCCTTAAGATGTTCTATACAAGAGTGACAAGGGTGTTAACCTGTTAAGCTTTTTTTCACGAAACTGTGTCTCAGGGCTTCTTAACATTTAACGAACTATGAATGTGTCATACCCACCTAACGGGAAGAAACTCAGCTAATTGACGATACGAACCATTTTTACTGAAACAAAACACAATTCTCACAAGAAGCGTCTAAATGAGCCCTTAGCGAAAACGGGCTAATGCTATTGCTGCTCATAACTCACAAAAACGATCTTTTATACTTCATACTATCTGCAAAAACGACATATCATCTGAAGGCTGAGATTCCACAGATTCCATTGGTATAAGTCTCGTCCCTGCACGGCCAGAACTCACTGAGCGAGCAGCCAGAACAGAGCAAGAAAACAACATCAGTTTTCAAAATAACAATAATTACGTCTTACCTTTGCTGTTTTGTGATCAAAAGTTGTGTTCAAGGGAATAAAAAGGTTGCTCAAGGTTAATCCAATATCTCTGTGTCACTTTAAAATGATTAATGATAATCCATCCTTCAATTTTTGTCAAAAACCCTCAAAAACTGAGATTTCATATGCACACTTGTGAGAGCTACAACCCAGCTTCCGGTTTTGGGCGTGCTGGCATGCATTCACCACTGGTAATGTTTAGATGGATTTTAGGAACTTCCCCTCGATTCTATTTGCTCTAACGGTTCAAAAGAGTCCCAAAGGAGAGGATGAAACTGACAATTCCATTTTATTCCAAATTAAAACAAATGTTGTGATGTTGGCAGTAACAAATACAAAATAAAAACATTAACATTCATCCTTTTGGAACCATTATAATCTACCTCAAATTGGACATTTGGCCATCCCAGTTAAAAGGATGTTGGGTTTTCCCATATCTTTAGAGTAAAACAGGGGCCATGGATTCAGTATCTGAGAGTAGAAGTATAGTATTGTAATCAAGTAGTTAAGAATACCATGTGAACAGGGCTACGTACCGGCGGGCTTTCCGGTAAATTCCTCTACACGTTCTCCCGTCTCCATGCTTGATGGGGTTGTTTGGGCTGCGGAACGACCACTGGACACTCTGAACCCCACAGGGCCCCAAACACTCCCCCCACTCAGACCAGGAGGACCAGCCACAGTGCACTGCAGGGTGACAAAACTGACTGTGTACGATCGCTCAAACAAAGGTGCATATGGGTAAAAGTCAACTGTAGATTAGATGTTGATCTTAAGGTAAAACTGCCTGTTTCAGACTCACCGGAACAGTCTTGGTTAGACTGGCATCTTTGGGGCCTTCCCCTCTCACAAACACAGATCTCACAGTCCAATTTTATCTGCTGGCCCGGCCAGTAGCGCACACCTGCCACTTCACACACACACTCCTCTGGTAACACACACTGTTGCTTATGGCTCATCACCTGGCCATCTGGACACCAACAACCTGGAGTTGGAGACAAGTTGAAGTTGTGAGAGATATGTAAATGACAAGCAGCAGCCATTTATTTTACAGCACAAGATATTCCATGGTCCTTTTTACTGACCAGGGGAGCAGGGTGCTATTGAATCACAGGTGGTCCCACTGCTGATGTGTGCACAGGACACTGGGCAAGGGGCACAGCTGTGTCTCACCAGCCCAGTGGGACAGCTGGTGTTTGCACAGCCATCATCAGGACAAGGCTCTGGGGTGGGACAGGAAAGAAATGAGAGAAGTTAATGTTTTTTAATTATTTAGATCAGCGGTTTTCAAATTGTGAGGCGCGCCTGCCCGGGGGGCGCCAGAGAGCTTCAGGGGAGGCGCAGCATGAGAAAAAAATTAAAAGAAACAGTGAAATCTAGCTAGTTAACTTCAGCTAACTTTATGCGAGCGGCAACATGGATCGATTTTTTGTGAAGTTACCTAAAGTGAGAGAGGAGACAGCGTCTGGCAGATAACGTCACTTGCACACTTTTGGCTGTCTGTGGAGACCGAGTTCCCCCACCTCGCCAAAAAGGCTGTAAAAGTGCTCATTCCCTTCACCTCCACCTACCTGTGTGAGTGTGGGTTTTCCGCATTGACTTTGATCAAAAGCGGTCAGCTGCAGCCAGAGGATGATCTGCGTTTATTCCTGTCTACATTGCATCCCCGCATCATTTGCCTGTGCGCATCAAAGACGCAGACTCATTGTTCCCACTAAAGTAGGGGTGAGTGTAATAAGGAGGCAAAGTTGACATTCAGTGTGTTGCCGGGAGCATATACTGTAAGGATTTATCCACGATGTTGAAAATGTTAAAAATGTTTAAAAAAGATGTTTAAAACATAAAGATAAAAAGGTTTTAAAAAGTTATTGTTTAATGTTTTAACGGTGAGGCTACTCAGCCCATCAAATCGGTGCAGTCAGTGAGTCAGCACGATAGATTCAAACACACACACAAGAAGAGAGAAACAGTCAGAGTAATTTCAAATGGTGTGCTCAAAAAAGAGAAAGGTTGACAGCGAAAACAGAGCATTTAATGACATTTTCTCTTACTGGACCTCTCTGAAATGCAATTAAATACCCCTGCATTATAGCAACAACAACAATAACTAGAGAATGCAATTCCTGAAGAAATTGCTAGTGGGAATGCTTTATGCTGAAAAGCTGACGCTGAATTGCTATGCTGAAATGTAATATGTAAGAAGAAAGTGAAGAATTCAGATTGAAATGATACATGAACACTGGGGGCTTGAATGTGTGATAAGAGAAGAAAAGAAAGTAAAAAGGCTTGGAAAAGCAACAGAATATTTGAACTGCAAACTATTGAACTAACTTGATGGCGAATGATCTGTCGCCATGGCAACGGTATTTGATGACACCCCATAATACGCTTAGATATGTTGATGGCTGCATCGTTACCAAACCTGTTTAGTTTTGGGCTGTTTGGAGCATTTTCACTGAAGTTATGAGAAAAACGTGTTTCATGGCGAGCATTGTGTTGCCATGGTAACGGCATTTGAAGAAATCTCAAAACTGTCCCGTAGATGTCTTTACGGCTGGACTGTTAGCACACATGTGAAGTTTTAGCACTTTTTGACAATTTTCACAGGAGTTATAGCAATATCGTGTTTTATTGCAAGGGATGCCTTGCCATGGCAACAGCTTTTGAGGAAAACTCACTAATGGCACATAGACATGTTGAGGGCTGGAGCATTAAATGTCATCTGAAGTCTGGTGGTGTTTTGACAATTTTCATATCAGTTACAACAACATCGTGTTTTTTGGCGAGGGATGCGTTTCCATGGAAACAGCCTATGGTGAGATCTCAGATTTGGCGTAGAGCTGTTGAGGCTTGGACCGGTGATATACAAGCGAAGTCTGGGGACGATCGGACCGTGTCCATTGGAGTTACAGCGACATCGTGTTTCATGGCGAGGGATGCGTTTCCATGGAAACGGCATATGATGACACCCCATAATTGACATAGAGCTGTTGAGGGCCGGACCATTAACCATTATCTGAAGTCTGCTGCTCTGAGCATGTCAGTTGGAGTTATGACATCATCGTGTTCCATGACACAGGTGTTTATATTTGAGCTAACGACGTGTCCAGAGATCAAAGGTTTCCATGGTGATGTGCAGTAATCAGTGATACCCCTTTCACACCAACGCAACTCCGGTTCAAGCTCCGTGCTAGAGCTTTTCAGGTTCAGAACCGGTACTTCGGTTTAGCTCCGGCTCGTTTCACACCGCTCAGAGCCCGACTGGTGCTGCCGCTGCTGCGTCATGACGTCACAGTTTACGTCGCTGATTTTCACCCCAACGGAGCTCACCTCACAACAACAACGGGCCGGGGACTGCGTCGGGTCGATGATCGTGTTGCTTTTTATCATACGAAGCCAGATTAAATTAAATAACGACTTCTCCAACCTTATACTTTTCTCCAGAGTGCCGTGGTTCATTGTTTATTAATGTGTTTCAGCGGCATTTACCGACCGCTGCAGTGCTGGCTTCTCTTCAACGGGAGTGTATTCTCCCGTTAGCTCCGGGTTAGCTCACACGGCTCTAAAGTATTCACTGTCTGACTGTCACACAAGCAGCTGATACATATCCCCAGTTCCCCTTAAGTGAATGTGTGTCAGTCTGAATTGACGCTGTTTGGCATCACAACGCTGTTATGAAAGTTTCTCTGGTATAACATGGGTGATGTTAGCATAGCAACCGAAGCTAAACTGACTACTTGCTAAGCCGTTTTCTACAGGCACTTTTTACCGGCGTATTTTTCATTATGATTCTACTTGTGATAGTCGGACATGACAACCTGTGCAGCCCATGTATTGATTCCATCCGATAGCTGCTATAATAACAAACAAAACGTCTGCCTGCTCTCCACAATGATCAATAACAGCGAACGGATGGTCAAAGTAAGGTACAAATAAACAGAATCACACAAAGCCTGGTTAGTGTTGCCTGACTTTATAAAGCGTGTTTTTTTTTTACAAGTGTGTGGTTGCGTTCTAGTCACTTTGCTCAGCACTACTGCTTGTTACAACTTTTATTTGCCGTACTCGCCTTAACTGTTAGCTCAGGTTAATCTCGCCCCCCTCCGACGTAAGCGTGACGTATGCGGTTCTTGCTTCTAGACGGACAACTTTTTGGTGCTCGAAACGAACCGGATTCCGGAGCTATGACGCTGCTCCGCTGCGGTGTGAACAGGAAAACCCGGTGCTTTTCAAGCACCAGCTCCGAACCGGCCCTGAAACACCGTTGGTGTGAAAGGGGTATGAGAGGAGAGCATTTTCATTGTTCTGAATGAGTGATAAACCTCTTACATGTGAACGTTTTGTTGAAGAACCGTAACAGATATCGGGTGAAATTTCAAAGCGTGAAGCATGTCAAGGAACTTGAGCATCTGAAGTAGGGCTGCTCAATTAATCGTATTTTAAACGCAATTACGATTTTGGCTTGCAACGATTATGAAAACAACATAATCGAAATAAAACCATAATTTTTATTTTTAATTAAAAAAAGAAAATGTTTTATTTTATTTTTGTATTGGTTTTTCAGTTGAATTATATTTAAAGTTCAGGGTAATCAACTGTTAAAAACATACTGTTCCATTTCTTTTTTATAAATGGATGTTTTCAAAGTAAATGGATAATCGTTTTTAATAATCGTGATATCAATTATTGACCCAAATAATCGAGATTATGATTTTTGCCATAATCGAGCAGCCCTAATCTGAAGTGTACTTTTTGTGTACTTTCGGGTTAATAATGTGGCCTTTTTGGCAGATTAACTAAAGGTGTGCGGCTGCTTTGGTGGGGAAAGATGAGGCTGAACTTACAATGGGGTTTAATGGAGACATGTTGAAAGTTTTTGTCACTTCATGCCCTCAAGAGGCATTTTGTTTAATTATTTTGCTTAATTTTTTTTAATTCTTCAAGCTCCGAGATGTTTCCATTCCCACTAAATAATAATAATAATAGCAATAATAATTGGGAGGGGGGGCGCGGCTGTTCTTATGTTCTCTGAGGGGAGGCTCTTTGCAACCGTACTGTTAATCTTTTTTTGATGAGATCTTGAATTTCAAACAACAGTATATGTGCAAATGTGCAACATTTAAATAGTGCAAATTAATAAATGCTTGCTTTATTCAATAAAAAATGCAGATTGATTCGGTTAGATTATTTTCATTTCAACCTTTACTTACTGATTTCCATGGGTAGGTTGAATCCAGGGAGCTGGGAACAGTCTCTGCCTCTGTAGCGAGGAGATACGCAGCCTCTGTGTCGGACCTGCACTCCACCACAGCTGGAACAGTTAGACCAGCTCCCCCACGGCAACCACCGACCATCCACTAAAGATAGCAGAGAGCATCACTTTTTAGTACAAATACAGTACATATGTGATTTTAACCTGTGGTATTGTTTATTATTAAACATATTCATCTTAGAGTTCATGTCCAGCTCCTTACCAGGGCAGGTGGTGTTGAAGCATTGCTGCATCTGGAGGTCCTGCCCCCGACACTGGCGCAGTGGGTCTCCTTCAGGACAGGTTCTCTGCCGGCTCATGGACCCTGTCCCACAGGAGGTGGTGCAGGGGCTCCACGGACCCCAGGAGCTCCAGCTTCTGCAGCCCTGCTCATCAGTGGGGCCTCCAAGTGGAGCCAATGTGGAATCAGGGCAGTCTGTCACACCATTACACACCTATGGAACAATACAGGGTTAGTGAACAGGAATGTTAGTGAAGGGGAAGGAATATTTGTTGCTGTTTTCATTCATGGTATTGTTACAAAAAGCTCATATTTAATTAATAAATGAATATAGTAAAGATGGCGGCACATGCAAACGCAGCGACCCCTCGCTCTACTCCTATATATATACTGTATGTGCAGGGTTGGGTTGTAACGGAATACATGTAACGGCGTTACGTAATCAGAATACAAAAATCAAGTAACTGTATTCAGCTCGCGTTACATTTGAAAAACGAGTAATCTGATTACAGTTACTTTCGTAAACCTGAAGTGAATACATTTTGGATTACTTATTGGAATTATTGGTGGAAAGATTTCCTCACAACATTTAATATTCATTACTAAAGGTACAGCCGAATCATCACAGCGCACAAAACCTATTACTGCCGCAGATGGACCAAAAAAGGGAGCGTTTGAAAAAAATGTGCGGGTCCGCTCAGTGAAACAATAACAACGAAACATGGAGGAACAAAAGTCTGCGTTTAAATCGTGTGTGTGTGTGTGTGTGTGTGTGTGTGTGTGTGTGTGTGTGTGTGTGTGTGTGTGTGTGTGGTGTGTGTGTGTGTGTGTGTGTGTGTGTGTGTGTGTGTGTGTGTGTGTGTGTGTGTGCGTGTGTGTGTGTAGAGGTGTGTGTGGTTAAAACACATCAGCCTGCGGTCGCTCTTTATGCTTTCTAATGATTCTGAAGGTAAACACAGTGAAGGCGGTGCGTGAAAGGTGTTGCGTGAAAGGTGTTGCGTGAAAGGTGTTGCGTGAAAGGCGGTGCGTGAAAGGTGGTGCGTGAAAGGCGGTGCGTGAAAGGCGGTACGTGAAAGGTGGTGCGTGAAAGGCGGTGCGTGAAAGGCACTGCGCGCTCCTCTTCTCAGAGGCTGAGTTAACCCTCCCGCTGCCTCCTGGTGCAGCAGAGATGTCATGAAGTGAAGGAGGTTTTCCTTCTATAAATCAGCTGTGGGCAGCAGATACTGTGAGTGTCACGGACATGAATTCATAGATCAAGGCAGACTGGTGCACACACCCTCCTGTTTTGCCAATCCGGTGCTTAAACAAATATAGCTCTACACCCCTGGCCGAAATGTCCTTAAAATGAAGTCCGAGTTCGACATTTTAATTCATGTCCTGCAAACACTGGCAGGACAGAAGGCGACGCGCCCGTTCTAAGCCGTGTCCCTCACTCCTCACATCCCAAGCTGCATCCCCAAAAAGTGTATTATGTTGTTACATCGTTTCAGATGTTATGTTTCAGTTGTGCTCTTGATAAGCCATTAAAACAGTAAAAACACGTTCAGTTTCCTTTTGCTTTTTGTGTCTCCTGTACACCAAAACATACCCATCTGTGATGGAAAAAGAAAGTAATCCAAAAGTAATCTAAAAGTAATCTGATTACGTTACTTTTTTAAGACACGTAACTGTAACTGTATTCGGATTACTTTCAGAGCCATGTAATCAGTAATCAGTAACTGATTACATTTACAAAGTAACCCTCCCAACCCTGTGTATGTGTCTGTTGATTATGTATGTGTTTATAAATATGTACATATTTTTATACATATTTGTATATCTTTTTTTATTTTTGTATTCCTTGGGATTGTGGGAAACAGTATTTTGATCTCTCTGTCTGTACACACAAACTGAAAGAATGACAATAAAGTTGACTTTGACTAAATGTGTTCATGTTTAATAAATGGCATGCCTGTGATGGCCAACCAACTTCATTGCTAATTAGACAAGGCTACCACAACTGATTCTTGTTTTGTTTAATTTGATAGTTGTCCATATATCACTTTACAAACTTTCAGAAAAATGTAAAATGATTGCTAAACCTTTCAGGGATGTAATGTCCTAATTTTCGGATTCACTGCAATGCAACTGAAACTTTTTCTAACGTCGTCCCTCTAAACAAAATATAATTATATCCCTATTTTATCTTTAACTACCAGGTCACCTTTCACCTACCTACTACCAACTTAGTATTAAGTTTCAGTTGTTGTTGTTGAATATGATGTCGTCTCAGACGTACCATGTTGAAGGGGACACAGGATCCATCCATACAGGTGAATTCAGGACAGGTGAGAGTGGTATTCTCTCTCACTGGTGAGACAGTTTTATCTAGACAGAGCAAGATAACAAAAAAAATTAAACATACCAAACAAATTAATCTGTATGAATCTGACAGATCGGAATGAACACTCTCTTCAAGTTTTTTTCTTTTGTTTCTTCTTCCCTCTATGCTTCCATACCTTCAACATTTTCTTTTTTGTTCTATTCCCTATATTCCAATTTGAAACACAACAATGAACATTTTGTCAGGTCTTATGCTTTATCTCTTCCATTCATCTACCCTCGCTCCGGTTATAACCTTTGTCCTCTCCTATCTCATGAGAACTCACCACACACCAACTCATCTTCGCCCCGTGGACAGTCTGGAACTCCGTTGCACACTTGCGACATGTTCACACAGGTCCGGTTGTCACATAGAAAGCTGCCTGGACAGGGAGGGATCCGAGTAGAGCCTAGCAGAGGGACAGAATTATCCTCATTGTCTTAAGAGAAATCCTTTTTTTTTGTAGCCTGATGATGAATCACTTTACATTAACTTACCACAGCTGTCAATACTCTCATCTGAGGCATCCCTGCAGTTCGGGGTCCCGTCACAGAGCTGCTGGTAGTCCACACACTGGTCCCCACTCAGACAGGGCACCTGGCCAGGGCCACAGGGTGTAGTACACTGCTGCTCATCACTGCCATCCATACAGTCTGTTTCCCCATCACAGCGCCAGGCCTGAGGCACACACTGCCCACCAGTGGCACAGCTGAACTCATAGGACCTACAAGCTGGAAAAACAGGGATGTATAAGAACAATTCTAAATACTGAAAATAAAATCTTCCTAAATCCCTAAATCATGACTGTTACCTGAAGTTGGCATGGTGACAGGGGAGGGTGACGGTGTTGCAGTGTGGCAGTTGGTTCTGTTCTCATCCTCTCCACCTGGACAGTCTGTTGTTCCATCACACAGCTTAGTGGTGGTGACACATGTACCGTCACTGCAGGCAAACTGGTCAGGAGCACAGGTCACTGCCAATCACAGAAAGGATGAGGTTTGGTCACTAATGAGAGATGGCTAAGGGCAAATGTGTATTAAACTTAAAGCTCAGTCAATGAAATGCTGTGTTGTGATTTCTACCTTTACTTGGACAGACAGCTTCGTCGGTTCCAGAGGGGCAGTCTGTGTGTCCGTCACACACTCTGTTTGCAGGGACACACTGGTCCCCAGGGCACTGAAACTCCCCCGGTGCACACACACACCTATAGTAAGCCAAAACAAATGAGATTATGATCAGTTGTGTAAAGTAACTAGGTACATTTACTAAAGTATTGTGCTTAAGTATGATTTTGTGGGCTTGAACTTTACTTGAGTAATACATTTTGCTACTTTGCAACTACATTTCAGAGGTAAATCCTGTACTTTTACTCCACTACATTTATTAAATACCTTTAGTTTCTTTGCAAGTTTGGAGCCATGATGTGAAACATAAACAACCCTTAAAAAATACTTTAGTTACACATGGAATAAAATGTAAAAACTACCCTACAGTTTGCAAAGTAATTAAAACTAGCTGCACCTTTCCCAGTTTTGATAAACACATTAATGCACCGTTAATTATAATCAAAATATATGATATATTTTATTCTGAAATGTGCCAATGTGTATAATGAACACAATACTTTTACTTTTCGTACTTTATATTTTGGTGCTAATACTTTTTAACTTTTGCTTGAGTAACATTTTGAATGAAGGACTTTAACTTTAAAGTGGACCTATCATGCTATATTTAAATGATATATTGTAGGGCCATACCTATATAAGGTATATTTATGCGTTTCTGTTTTCAAAATACCAAACAGATCATGCATTTTAGCCATGCCTCATTTCGCTCTATGTGCTGTTTGCTGTCTGCGGGTCTGATTCTGCTGACCACGCCCCCCTGCAGGAGAGGTGAGCTGTGCTCTGATCAGCTGCTGGGCTGTCAGAAGAGGGGGAGAAAAAGAGATCTCTGTGTTTTATTATATAGAGTCGTTATTCATTTGTTTTAAAGCTCAATAAATAACAAAGAAGACCTTTGACCGGCACTTTTCTAATTTTGTCCGGAAGATTTAAACTTTAACGGACATCTTGACCGGCGAAACAAACTGAAACTGAAACTCTGCCGCACGGTCCCCTCGTTCCTTGGAAGAGGCGGAGAGGTGGGTGTTTGTCATCTGCTGGTGGACTAACCGGAGAGAATTACAGTGCTTGCCTCGACGGGGAGGGATTGCATTGCAGCGGGAGCAAACGCTTGCCTCGGGGAGGGAGAAAAAAAAGCCACAGCGGAGAATAAACAGAAGGGTAACCATGGTAACCAAGTCTTCTTCGCTGCTTTTGTGGCAGACTACAGCGCCACTTACAGGTCTGGCATATGTACTACAGCGTCTCCAGCGCTTTCGAGCGGCAATGGCCGGCCGTGGCCCAACCCCACATTCCCCTGATAGGTGGAGAGTTGGCCCAATAGCCGTAGCGCCACCGTCCTGACGTCAGTAACGTGTTCAAATCTGGATCAGTTTTTATCAGATCCGTTGCAGCCCCTTTTTTAGAGATTTGGGTATGGAGGAAAATAGAGAGGGTTGTGTTTTCTGACACTTGGTGAGTTCCCTGGAACACCGGGGACACATATTCATGTATAAAAGACGTACAAAAGTGCATTTTGCATGATAGGTCCCCTTTAAAGTATTCTTACACTCAGGTAGTTCTACGTTTACTTAAGTAGAAGATCTGAGTACTTCACCCATCTCTGACTATGATAACATCATCATGTGCAATCCATAATTTAATGGGGGAATGATGCTCAAAATGAAAACTAAAATAAAGACTAAAGTATATGTTGCGACCAATATTAGCTGAGGAATATTTGCAAATAATTCTCCTTTATTTGATGTAAATGTCAGTATGTTGAGGTTAACTAGACTATAATATAGAAAGTGTCAAGATTGTATGCTGCATACACTCAGCAGGATAAACTCTGCAAAGTACATTAATAAATGTCACTTAGCCATTGACTATCCCAAATACCAAAGGTAAGCAGAACAGAAAACACACCCCCTCTCATCACTGAGGTCCCCACAGTCATCGTGTCCGTCACATCGATGGAGGTAGAGAATGCAACGTCCTCCAGCACACAGGAACTCCCCCTCATCACACACCACACCACAGTCTGGAACAACACAAGAACAGTTCAACACATGTAAAAACAAAGGGAACAAGACATCCTTTAATTGTTAAAGGAATACTTTTGATAAAGTGTTGTTGTTGTTGAGTGTTTTCAGTTAGGTATAGAATATAGGTAATATTGCTGGATAAGTGACAGATGACCTTGTTCATCAGACCCATCAGCGAAACCACAGTCCAGCCGTCCATCACACACACGGCTGGCTGGAAGGCACTTTCCATTTGCACACTGAAACTCCCCCGGTGGGCACAGGGGCATGGTGGTGGCGGGTCCGCAGAACTCCTCATCTGATTGGTCAGCACAGTCTGTGCGGCCATCACATCGCAGAGCCTGGTTCAAACAGGGTCCACTGCAGAGGTTGGGGTTAATTCACTACAGGAAATTCATTCTAATTCAAAAAAGTCGACACGCTGATGTGAATCATGTCATTTCATATTACCACGTTAACATTCTGGGTTGTAGCTTGCATGTAATGTTTAGCTTACATGGGATTCATCCTCTTACAATTATAAATGTATTTAAGAAGTCTATTTATTTGAAGTGAGCAATATTATGGAACAATATTTTTGGAGGCTAAAAACACAAACACTGCTATCATAAGGGCAAATATTTGAGTTAGTTCGAAATGCTAAGTCTAACCTACAAACTAAGGGTTGATTTATAATAGATCATTTTGATTCCTTAGTTATAAAACGTCCTTATCTCCACACATTCAAGTTTGCTTGTTTATAAGTAAAGTGAGTTAGGATTCACCTTGGCGTGCTGGTGCAGCGGAATTGTTCTGGAGCGCAGGTGGACAGGCAGATCTCATCCGATCCATCACCACAGTCATTCTCGTTGTCACACACCCACTGGGAGGGGATGCAGCGCCCCCCAGCACAGGTAAACTCTGACTCCAGACAGGGGGGACGAACAGGAGGGCAAGCCACACCCTTACACTGCCACACACCAGCCTCACAGGTACTGGACACACAAAGGCAAAGACACCACTCTGACTTCAATTTTGATAATTATAAGGAGCAAAAAGAGATGTGTTCAGGCTTTAGATTGACTAACCAGTTCTGACAGTGTTGAGTGACGGTAGTTCCAGGTGGAAACATGGAGCCCTCCCACTCACATGGACATTGAACAGGAACTACACAGCTGTCCCCTGTAGAGCAGAAAACATACTGACAATTCTTCTTTTCTCAGAGCTTTTTACAGTTATAAGGCAAACAAGTTTGTTCTGAGGGTACCACGAGAAGAAAGAATTTGGGCTCATTTTCAGGTTATGGTCTTTCTCAAAATCTTTACAGTGATTTAACTTTAAACTTCACAAGACAAAAATCAGGGTCGTCCTAAACAAGATTACATTGGAAATGGAAGCAAACTACTAAAGGAAAATATGTATTATAATAATTATGTATGTATAAAATTGTAATTTGAGCTGTAATTCTGCAATGTGCTCTGACAGCAAATAAAATGTCTCAGCTCACCTACCTGACATCACATCACATATTAAACAGTGCTTTTTTAATATATCATCTGTAAGAATCTGTGATTATTTTTGGCATTTCCTAACTACTGTACTGTGAAGCATGAACAGACGTGCATCAAAATCAAAAAGGTAGCTGACTTTGCAGTGCTCTCCTTTCTTGTCATGACATTATTAATTATAAATGTGTATTTATTGAGTGTGAAAATGTATGTTTGGCATGAGTGTGAAAGTATCTATCTCTCCTCGGTCAATGTGTAAGAGTTAGCAGCCCTGCATATATATGTACGTCCAATGGTTGATTGGGGAGCATGTATATCCATATCAATCTGATCATTAATAATTTGTCTAATTTTAGTAAATGTGGCTTACCATGTCGGACCGTGCCAGCAGGGCAGAAGCACCCCTCCACACAGGAGAGAGAGCCACACTGGGAGTGAGGACTCCGCTGAACAGTGGGACATGAGGAAGAGCAGGCTGGACCACAGGGATCATACACCATCCCATTGTCACACTGCAGAGCTGCAGGGAATTAGGGAAACAATACGAGTATCATAAAAAGACCAGTTCAGAAGAAATGAAGTTACAGTAAGACGGGAGTAAGATGTGAGCGTGTGTGCGCATTGTGTGACATACGACAGAGCTCCTGGGACCTCCAGCGGATGTAGACCCCTTTACGATTGCACTCTTCAGCATAGGCAGAAATGGCTGTACAGAGACACTCACAGTCCCCTCCTGAGTCACAGCTAAAACACACAAAAAATAATACATGATGATGGAGTAAAATATGAACATTCAATGTGATTAGGAAACTACATGTTTAGGATGGAGATATCCTTACATAATTAATATTCCACTGAACCCTGTAGAGTGTTTTAATACTAGAGGCTTTGTTTGTTATGCTCTGCTCTTACTGTTACTGTTGTTACTTTTGTTCCAGCACTTGTTTTTTAGGGATTTAACGCATATATATATAGTTTATTTTGGTGAGACAGGCTGAATGTATATAAATAGGGCTATGTAATGTAGGCTAGTACACAAAAGCATGAGGTTGTAGCAAAACATTTTCTATCAGCCGGCAGTCTTACTTATCATACACACATTCCCATATACATTGAGAAAATGTGCAGTCCTGGAAGTTTGGAAAAACATTTGTAAAACCAGTGCAAGAGATGCTGATAAAAAAGCTGTTTCCATCAACCAATGCATCCCATTGGCATAAGCAAATATAATGTATACAGTAGATAATATATTTTTAAAAGAAGCGTTTAAGATACTCAGTCGGTGATCGGTGCGTTTACTCACCCACAAGCATCAAAGACACACCAGTCATAATACTGCTGGAAAGGCACCTCAGGGTGGCACCTAGAGAAGAGCTCCTGAGTTAGGACTGCACACCTTTTCCTGGCCCAGGTCACCCTGTGGGGGTTCAGCTGAAAAAGGCAAACGAGAGGAGTTTGTTTCATTTATTGGCAAATCGCCACCTAAGTCAGTAAGTCAAACGTTTCATAAAGTGTCAGTTTATGTGAATATGCATGTGCCTGTACTAAATTTCCCCCTTGTGGATTAATAAAGGTTCAGGTTGAACTCACAGCACAAGGGTCTCTGAGGTCCTGGTCTGCGACGTCAGGGCAGGAGGGGCTGACCTTCCACGAGTTACCAAACAGCTCGGCTGTAGACTCCACGATGCCCTGACGCGTAGTAAAGTCATTCTCTGTGTCCCCATCAAAGTTACCACACAGGCCACTGACCTGACCCCGCAGGTGGGCGGCCAGGCGCACATACACACGCATACCTGGAGAGAACATGTAGAATGACAACAACATTACCACTGGTTTGTTAATTAACCAGCATTTAAAGCCACATACATGATCTTAGCAATGCTAGGAGAACGATTGGTCTTGACAATAAATATCAACAATAATGGATACTGATGGAAAAAATGCAAAAATGTATAGACCATTTATATATTTCGAAAAATAAATGATCATTGGGGCACCTGACACTGAACAAGAAAGGGTTTTGTGACAGATTATTTAAAGTGGCAAATGTTTGTGTTTCCTACCTCCATCCCATAGCAGAGTGACCCCCAGTCGGGAGGAGAGGGAGACAAACAGGCCAACTCTTTCCAAAGTCAGACCACTGCCACTATAAGACTTTGGTAGACTAACTGGCATCCCATTTACTGTCACAGCTTTACCTAAAGGAGAGAGACAAGATGGCTTAACTTGAGCATCAAAAAACGTAATGTGGTGTCCAAAGACCCCCTTACCTCTCAGAAGATGTATGACAGTATTTCCCAGGCTGAGTGTGACTGACTTTGTGCAGGTGACCCCGGTGCTGCCGCATGGCACATTCTCTGCAATCACACTGAACAAACCGCTGGTCTCCCTCGCCAGCACGTACTGGCAGTCACCCAGGAAGGAGTAACAGCGGCCATCAAATGTCACATAGTGTGGGTCACCAGTTGCCACACACACACCGGCACAGACGGACTGGCTGCAGTGCCAGCGGCGTTCCTTACACACACTGAAGGAATTAATAAAGTAGAGTTTAAGATGAGTAAATATTCAATGGATGTTTTGCAATAAGACAACTGCATACATTACCAAGTGTTGCAATCTTTGGTGATGGTGTCGTTGCTGTAATAAAGTTGACCATTATGGTGACATGGGCACTCATCTGGCTGAACACACTTATCACCCTGAGTTAGACCAGAAAGAAAAAAGTGTACAGTAGTGAAAACTCTTATGGGGTTGTGCAACTATAACAGGAAATGCCGTGAGACTGGGTTGGGTTGTAGGCCATTGTGTTCTATAGTAGCCTACTTTTACCGGTGCAATAAAAGAGCTGACTCTTTGGTAAGGTTCCAACTTATTTCCTATTTGCATGAAGACAAATGTAATTTCCCTAGTAAAAATGTTTATTTGGCTGTATTAATATTCCTTCAGCAATACATAGGCCTACACATTCCTTTGAAATTAAATGGCAGACTTTTAATTATAGTTAAATTAGACTAAAGCTACAATACCAATATGTTATTTTAACTTAATATATGATTTGATTACTTGAAAGGAATAGCATGAATGTGGATGTGTAAGCCATGTTTAACCAAGCTAGTAACAGCTAACAATAGCTTAGCTTTATGAAATGTAAAAAATAAAACATTCAAAACAACACATAGTTATCTCAATATGAACATGCCACCACCTAAATATGCTTTCAACTATTATCGAATAACAGTGAATGAAATGAGTAACAGTCGACAATGTGGAAGGTTCTGCGCAATGTTAATGATAACGTTAGCACCTAGCGCCTTCAGCTTTAGCATCTTTTTCCTTAACGTCATTATTTTGGTTTTCAAACGACGATTTCATTGTTCCAGTGCACCTCCTATAATTTCCAGCAGCTGTTTTCAGCAAAAACTCTTAAGACATACACAGTCAGCTTACTTGTCCAACGTCGAACAGATGAATTTGGCAACTAGCAATAACGCTAATGTTGCTCTCTAAACTGACTGTGTCATTCATGTTAAACCATTTATTACCCATTTAGTGATACTGTATGTTTCAAGCCCATGCTGCCCCCAAGTGGCAAAAAACGAAATAAATCCAGGCAAGTTCAAGCAAATGGAGTTGTTCATGGAAGATATTTAGCTTGAGTTTTGCAGACTATGAGGAGCTCACTGTATAGGTTACTGCAACATTGTAATGTAACAAAGCCATTGTTGATGATATTAACTACACTTATCTCTGCCTGCTATGAATAGTCTTAATGTCTGATGTGAATAGTTCTCTAGTCTTAATATTTCACATTTAAGTAATTTGAGTTTTCACCCACTAGTAGCACAGTTCCCTGGGGACAGACGCAGCCAGAGAGGGGCTCTCTGCAGCCCGTCAATGCGACACTGGACCCCTGCTGCTGGCCAGGAGGGTCCAGGCTGGAGCAGGTGAGGAGGCAGGAGCGTGGAGAGTAGACCAGAGAGCCTGGACACTGGTTCACCTCCTCACAGCGCTCCTGGGTGCAGTTAAACTGCCCCTGCTCACACACACTGTGAAGGGAGAGCAGAAACATTGACTCAAATTAATTTAGTTTGTATTAGGTGGGAATAAAAGGCCATCTAAGCTTGTTTAAAATGCGTATTGAAAGACCATGTATTAGCAAGAATTGTGTTGTATTGAAATATCATCAATACATAAATGACACATAACTGCATGTTAGGTTATGTTGGGTCGACACAGTTTCACTTTTTAGCTACTAAACTCTCAACAGTAGCTGTAAAATGTTATACGGCACCAACAAAGTTTTCTATGAGGTGTGATGAAAACCATTTCACTGTACAGTACATCACCTTTTTATATCAGTGTAATAATTATCAAATCCAAATGTACCATTTCCTCATAGCAATTTATCAGGTCAATGATCAGTGCAGAGACACATCAGAGCAGTTTCAACACAAGGAAAATGAGTCAGGCAGAGAGAAAAGTTCTACTGCTATGACTCAGTCATTTAGAGATTACGCAAACCAGTAGAGCGATGATCATTGTGGTAATGTAGTGAAGAGATGCAATGAAATCAACCTATCCTGTATCAGGAAGCAGGAACATAGAGGGATTTCATCGAGGCTCTTGCACCACAAGGGACTCGCTGTGGGATAACATGCTCTTATATACCTATACTGTTAGCACATATTACCCTTATTGCAATGCATGAATTACTTAAAGTGGACCTATCATGCTATATTATAATAATATAGTGTAGGACCATACCTATATAAGGCATATTTATACTTTTTTTTTTTCAAAATACCAAACAGATCATGCATTTTAGCCATGCCTTATTTCGCTTAATTTGCACTTATTTAGCTCTGTTTTTGCAAGGGCTGATTCTGTGAGAACAGCACCACCTACAGGCCTGGCATATGTACTACAGCGTCTCCAGCGCTTTCGAACGGCAATGGCCGTGGCTGTCTCCTCCTGATTGGTGGAGTTGGCCCAATAGCCGTAGCGCCACTGTCCTGACGTCAGGACAGTGTTCAAATCTGGATCAATTTTTATCAGATCCGTTGCAGCCCCTTTTTTAGAGATTTGGGTATGGAGGAAAATAGAGAGGGTTGTGTTTTCTGACACTTGGTGAGTTCCCTGGAACACCGGGGACACATATTCATGTATAAAAGACGTACAAAAGTGCATTTTGCATGATAGGTCCCCTTTAAAGCAGAGGTACAGGTTAAAGTTACGAATTGTAGACTTTTAATGTAGTTAAAGCGATAGATCTATCTGGAGAACATACTTGAAATTACTTCCTAAGAAGTTAATGCATTTAAATCCACAAATGAAAAGTGATACCACACAAACACATACTCATAATGACCCCTGACCTTTCACATTGTCTTTAAAGACACACAGTTCTGGATTTGTCAGTGCCTAGCCGACTTTACTGGATCTTCAATACAACTGTCAGGGGTTCAAGACTTTATCAGCACTTGATTTGAGTATATTTACGCACCCCATGGGATCAAAGCTCATTCAAAGTACAATTTAAATATTCATGAAACTTTGCTGCCAATATTATATTATAGCTGCATCTCTACTGACAATGAAACATGCTGACTACTCCGATCTTTATCACTACTACTGCATGATAAAAGCAGCATGAAGATACAAATGAGAAAAGGCTGTTTTTATGATGTGCTGTAAAAATATGATCTATGCAATTGTGTCACTGTTTTTGCACTGATTTAGCCTTTATCATAAGTAGTATATCAGCTACAAGAATTATGTTTTGGTTATACTTTTATTCGTTTTTTATTGTAAATTTGATCATATTTTCCAGTTAAACCTGGTTCTATAAATATTTTAAAAGTATGGCAAGCAGTTTCAGTCAAGAAATTGTGTAGCTAAAAGTAAAATGATATTATTTAGGCCAAGGAGTCCCAGGATTGAACACATTTTGAAAGCCCATTCACATGTTGTTCAGGAGTACATACCAGGTATTACAGCTGTTCTGTATTATCGCCCCAGGCCGGTATGTCTTGTCTCCTTGCACACAGGGGCACATGGTGATGGGCACACACTGGCCCTGGTGATCCTGCATTAGTCCCGGTGGGCACTGGCAACCAGGAACACACATCTTAAGACTCATCTCACCCCCACTGGCATCGCAGCTCCAGCTGTCTGAACAGCAGCCCCCACAGGCACGGCCACATTCCTGGTACACCTGCCCCCCCGAACACTGGACAGCTGGGAACAGGAGAGGAGGAACTTCAAATTACTGTAGCTTGTTACATTTTTCTATTCTGCAAGAACAACTTTTACAAACTCATAACCATAGTGGACATCCTGGAATATTGTTTTTCATTAAGTACTTTTACTCAGGTACAGTACTTAAGTCCAAGTTTGAGATGCTTTTTTAGCATTTTTTGACTTTCGTTACTGATTACTTTACAGATAAAACGTTTAAAATCCTATAAGGAGGATGATAAAAAACAATAGACATAATAGGGTCAATTGAATTCAGCTACTGCAATGTACATGATACTCCATCAATGATAATAATATAACCACTAAAGAGCCCATTTTACTCTACACTTTTACTATATACTTATTATACTTTTCTTTAACTTAATATGCACATTTTCATGATTGTACTTTTGACTTTGGTAAAAATACTTGAATACTTTTCACTACTTGTAAAAAGGCGTTTATCTTATTAATAATAATCGTAATATTAGTATTTATACTTCAGTAAAAGTTTCTCTACCACTGCACTTCAGAAATGGCCTCCTCACTTACGGCAGAAAGTGTGATTTCGCCACTGGACGGTGACGCCCTCCTGGGCGCAGTGTCGGGTGTAGGCAGTGAGGATGGTGCAGTGACAGGCCCTCTGTGGAACGCAACCACAAACCTCCAACAGACAGAGACGGAAATAAGGCTCCCGTTCCACCACGTCGTGACACACCTACGAAATCAGAGAAGGAGACGCACGTGTGAATAAAGACAGAAGATAAACTCATTCCTGAGATAGTAGGAGATTTAAAACACTCCACCCAAACTACCTGAAAGACGGGGCTGTGTATGACGGAGCACACTGTCTCTGCGTACGGTCTCCTCTGGGTGTATGTGGTGCAGGGGTCAGGTGGAGCTCCTTTGGGTATAGCGCAGTGCTCTGTCGTGAATTTGCTCACAAACAATGACACACTGTTCTCCACATCTCCCTCTGGGGTGGTGAAGTCATCATGCTGGTTCCAGGTCAGCGTTCCACATAGGCCGCGCACCTTGAATACACCATTTTGGCACAGGTTTTTAGTATCAGAAATGCGGTGTCAACCAATTTGGGAGAGGCACAACTGAAAGAATCATATTAGGTTAAGGGTCACCTTATTTGCGAAGCCAGGTTGTAGGGTAATGATGGCCAAAGGTCCATCTAGGTGCCAGAGCAGCTGGGCTCCAAAAGCCTGGATGAGGAGAAATGAAGAGGAGGCCCTTCGCACAACCAGGTCCCCCGTTACCACAGGCAACGGCTCCCTCTGGCCATTCAATGTCACTGTGCCTGGAAGGAACAATACCAACTGTAAGCTATCAAAAGACAGACATTTAAATAAATATTCTCACAATAGAATTTTTTTTTTTAAGAAGTTAGTAACTTTCAATAATTACATTTAATTTAATGTGTTTTTCAGAAGAAGTTGCATCCAGGGTGCGAGTGTGTTGAATTTGAAAAGTGTTTTACTTTAGTAAATGAGTTGAACATACACCCTAAAGATGATTTAACAAATGCTAGAGCATACAGTAAGAGTAGAGACGCATGCACCAAAGAACTTGGGAACTTCAGAGTCTCTTTTTTGTGAGTGTTGACCATTTTGCTTCAGGCAATTGAGCCTTAATGAATCAAAACAACTTTGAGAAGCATCAACTCCGAGAGATAATGATGAAGACAACAGGGCGTCAATATTAGTCATGTTGACCGTCCCTACTAACAAATGTAAAATGATAACAGTCAGGTTGCAGTGTGTAACCAACTCACCAGTGTCTGTGATCATGACTGTGGTGCGCAGTGCTGTGACGGACATCTCCTTTAGACAACCGAAACCACCTCCGGCTGCACACTCCCCACAGCGCACAGTCACTACCAGCTTCCTGTCAACAAAGTCCTAAAAACATGCAGAACATTAGCTCAAAAGAGAAATGGCTGCACACAAATTCATCTAATCGTGTATTTAACTGTGCATGGTTTGCTTGTTGAGTATCTCACCTCCACAGCAGTGAAGGGACAGTCTCCTCCCTGTAGTGAATACCGCTTTTTGTCAAAGGTGGTCACCTGTAGCCCCCCCATCAGGGTGCACTGGGCTGAGCACTTCTCCCCAGTACACTGCCACTGACCTGCTGTGCAGACACTGGGACGATAAAGAATAAAGAGAAGGATGGAAAGTGAGAAAATTGGATCACTAAATTAAAAAATATATAGGAAAGACACTTACCAAGTGTTGCATCTCTGCTGTATCTTATCCCCTGACTGGTAGGTGCGTCTGCGATGGAAACAAGGACAATCGTCCCTTTTCAGACAGAGTCCCTGGTGAAGGTAGAGTCCCGGTGGACACTCACAGCCCCCCACACACTCCTCTCTGCACTGACCCATGGCTGCAGGCCCGGGGGGCTGGGGAGACACACAGCTGGGGGGACAGGAGGACACACAGTCTGAAAACACCTGACCTCTGGGACAGACACGACCTGGAAAGACAGAGCAATGAGTAGGAAACAAAGTTAAAGGATGTTGTTTTGCATATTTTAGCATCATGTGTCCTGCTGACTGTCTTGTAAAGAAGACTCTGACTCATATTAATATGTTTTGACATTTTTTTACCACATAGAGTTGCTGTTCTCCAGATAATGATGACATGTTGCTGAGCACACTCTCTGGCATAGCTGGCCAGGGTGTCACACACTGCTGAATCCCTCTCTTTGGGTGGCAGGCTACAGTACAGGTAGAGACAGGTGTCTGTGTACGCTTCTGGGTCCAACTGTAAAACACACAGACACATATATGGGTTTTTGAACAATTCATCTATACTATAGCTTGCAAAAACAATTTACTCCAACATAAATGTACAAATCCTGTGCACGGTGGCTTTGATCAAAGGTTTAGACAGTGTATGAATGATCTTTTAGTGCATTGATAAACAGAACAAGCAGGGACAATCTTTACAAAATACATGAACAAGATATGCTAACACGTTTATTATGCACTGCAATGTTTTATAATATTAACAAGTCTAGTCATTATTGTTGGCAAATAAGTCAGATAGACGTAAGCTTTGGAAAATAGCCATATCTTCATAAATGATTAACCAGTGAGATATTACACCTTCTCATTAATGGTGAGTTTCAGAAAGAGAATTCAAAAGTACTTTCGGGCAATGTTAATGTATAGGTTGAACTAAAACCATTTATTTTGCAAATGATATTAAGCTGTTACTTCCCATGTAGTCATTACAGTTAAGTTCTCTTTACGACTGCCCGATGACTCAAACCAATCCAACCTATTTCTTGGAACTGCTCTAACAATTGGCACTTGGTAAATGATTTACCTTCAGGAGAATTTTGAATTACAGCCCATTGCAGACTTGGCTTTCAAAGAAATGTGATAAAAGCATCTATTGATAACGAAAAGGACAACTATGAAATAAAGTATGTGTGTCTGACCCGGGGATGGCAGTGTGTGAAGGGGGTTTCCAGCAGTTGGTGACACACTGACTCTGCCCGCCTGCGTAGGGCAGGGTCTCCTGAGACATCACAGCTGTGGCCAAGCTCTGCCGCATCACTGCAATCCTGAGGGAAGCAAGGGACACAGAGAGGCTCAATTAATGAGGGTGAATCTCATTCATACACGTTACCATTCATTTTGAGTACAGTACACACACAACTCTGCATTTATACCAAAACAGCTCCTCAAACCATTTATCTCCAGCAGCAGAATGTTTTGCTCATTTTGTTTTCAACATCAGTGTGTGTTCAGAGAGCACAGATTCTCCTTAAAAAATAAGACTCATAACAAAAAGCTATAATGTTGCAAAAAAGTGAAATACTCATTCAATGCATTCAGTGCAGTACTTCATTCTGCTGGTCAGGAACTTTCCAGGAGTTGCCGAAGCTGGCGGCGTACTGGGACACAGTTCCACCCATTGTGGTGAAATCATCTATGGCACCAAGACACAAGTAGGTTACGCATTAAAAGTTAAAAGAGTTAGGGTTACCTAAAACAAGATACAGATACAGGTATAGAAATAACCCTGCAGGTCGGAAACAGTAAAAAACAGTACAAAATATTACTTGACTACATTTTGACCCTGGGATGTGTGTGTGATTCACATTATGAAAATACATTAGTGTGCGATTGTATCTATTGCACTTTACGCACCGTCAGCGTTGTTGTTGTAGACTCCACAGAGCCCCCTGGTGGCGGCCAGGTGCTCGGCGGTCACTGTCAGATACACCGTGTTGGTCAGGTCAAACTTTACTCTCACTCCCAGGCCGCTCTCCACAAACACAAAGTCTCCCAGCCAATGAACACTCACTCCTGTAGGAAGTAGAACCATTGCACATTTCTACTTTGCTGTACAAAATTGTTGCATTGTTATAAAGTCGCTGACAGTATTTGTAGATAAAGAAAGCTGTTACCCATTATGTAAGATCAAATTACTTGTCAATGGACTCAAGAGGAATAAGGAGATCATGTAATAAATAAGCTTATTATTACAAATACAGTCAACAATTGTATGTAAACTATAGAAACAAACTGTTATAATACAAACGTCACAGAGCAAAAGGTTAGATATCTAGAATAATTATTCCTTAACAATACAGTAGTATTTTACAGAATACTCTTGAATGATGATGTTATTATGTTAAATTGTTATTTAAAAGATCTTCTTGTACTGAAAGACAAGTAGATGCAAGGCACATACACAGATCTAGATTGTTCAGTCTTCTTTCAATAGGCTGTGTAATAAAATGTGTTTTTGTTGCTCCAGTGCAGGTACTGATGTGACAGGATTTAACATGACCATTTTACCATGTTGCCTGGTTAATAATGACAGACACAAATGAGACTAAGGGAGGGCTTTAGTGACAGCTCGAAAAATACTTTACCATTTTGGAAGAGTGGCTCTCCATTTGCAACAGGAAGGTTGTTCAGCGTTAAGTTCTTGTGATGAATTGAAACCAAATCCAGACCCATCATCATCCTCAGAGCCTGAAAGCAGAGGGACACATACTCATCAACATTTATGTACAAAAAAAAGTCAAACATGTCTTCTATGGGCACCCAGGTAAACTCGTCCAATGTCACTGCCACTACAATCAGGTGGTTGGAAAAGTCTTAAAAGAACAAGGATATACTGTTTCATCACTTCCATGAACGATGTTAAATGGCCATATTTCACACCTTACTGCAGTGTCCTCTGCCGTCACAGGCTGTACTGATGTAGACTGCCCAGGTGCCATCAGTAGACGCGGCCATGAGGTAGGTGCAGCTGCCCTGGAAGTGGAAGTGCTTCCTGTCAAAAGTGCGGTAGTGGGCTCCACCCCAGGACATGCAGGTGGCCGAGCTCAGAGGCACCCTGACGCTCCCCAGCAGACCACCACGGACCATAGGGGAGGACTGGGAGTCTGGAAAGGAGGGGGAGGTAGTGAGTGACGGTTATGTGATATCAAATACAAGCAATGAGCATACTTTAAAGGTCCCCTATGATACTCTTTTTCATCAATATACTATAGTTCTCAGTTATACAAAACATGTCTCTGAAGTGTTTGGCTCGAAATATCCAACATATCATGTATTGTAGTATCCCATAAACCCCTCTGTTTCAGCCCTGTTTCAAAAGTGCTGATTCTGGGTCTGTTACTTTAGATGAAAATAAGGAGCCACTCCCCACGACCCTCTGCGAGATGATTGGTTACAAAAACACAATAGGCGCTTTCACACCGCAGTACTTTTCCCACAAAGGTGCATCAGAACTTAGTTAATGAGAACTCTTTAGTTCTCATGAACTAAGTACAGATCGCGTTCACACCGGAATAAGTCGCTGGCGGAGGATTAGGCAAATGAAGCCGCTGACGTCACTTCTTCTTCTTCTGCTTTGGGTTTACTGGCAGGCCGCAAACAACTTCATGGCGTATACTGCCACCCGAAGTCCCCGGCCGGAAGTCCCCGGAGTTGAAGCCTTCCGAGTAAATCGCCAGAACGCCGACACCTCCTCATCTCCACCGCTCCCATGTTTTCTTTTGTGTTGCCATAAGTTAGTCTCTCTTTGTTTGTGCGCTGGGCTAATGCTAATAATGCTAATGCGAGGATAGTAAAATGGCGGCCTTACAAAACTTTTTGGGAGTTTTACGGGGCGTGGTTTGCAATCCGCCCAGCCAATCAGAAATAGGAACCTTTTTCTCCCACGAAAGTCCCTGCTCTCTAGCAGGGACGGGAAAGGGGGTAAAAAGGTTCTCATTAACTCATTTTAGTTCCGGATTTTTGTTGGTGTGAACGCAACATTTCGGAACTATATCGGAACTAAAGTGGGAAAAGTACTGCGGTGTGAACGCGCCTAATGGTGCTCTAGGAGGAGATTCAGGTGATAAGGTGGGCGGGGGTTACCTTGGTTGGTTATTGGCTAATAGTTACACAACCCAAAAAAACATTATGACATCACAAAGTGGCAAAAATCTGATCAGCTCATTTTCAGACAGGTTTTTATATAAATGGATCAGGACAAAAAGAGAGCGAGTCTTTTTTCCTGAAACTTTCAGAATCTCTTTAAACAGAGGGGACACATATGTATGTATGAAAAACATGAAAAAGTGGATGTGACCTTTAAAAAAAGATAATAAATTCACTGCAACTCATCGAATATTAAAAAAGAAACATGTAAAAACGTGTATGTTCATGGATACTCTCTTACCAGGAAGAAGTGTGTAGGTGCATGACAAGCAGGTCTGGTCGGACGCATTCCTCCAGCTGAGCCCCCATAGGCTGCTGCAGCACTGCTCCATCGGCATGAGAGAGGCGTTATGAACACCAGGGAACGCATCACAACTCCACGTGGAGAAGCACTGGCCACGTGCACCCACACCTGGGAAGTAGAGAAAGAGAGAAAATGTTAGAAACAAGGTTGAAGGACGTAAATACGCAAATTAACGCTTTGTAAAAATGTATATTTAAAGTACTTTTCAAATAGTGAGTGGTGTGTTATCTCATGAAATATGCGCATATTTTAACACATTTCAGGAACCGAAATCGGAACTTTGGATAAAGCCAGGATCAAAATTATTGTTTCATTTTGTAGTCATATTAGTATCTAAGGCTTTTACAGAAGGGATTTTGGATATCTCTTTGTATCACTCCATAAATCAGAAAATACTGTCAACAGCCCTAAAATATCAATTTTCACCATGTTTTTAGGTATAAAATGTTATATAATTCAGGCTATGAATTATATATGACCAAACCCTTCTGTAAAAGCCTTCATAATATTGATAGGAATATAACTGGAAGGTTTGGTGTATGTAACTGCTACTGAAGGGGAAATTTCGAACTCAGAGTAGGAGAAAAAACTCATTTTGAGAAAACGACCTTTAAAGATTGCAGTGTGACGCTAGCTAAACCCTCCTGTTATCTGGATGATAGCTTGCGCATCGACGCACTCCGTGAAGGTATTTCATGTTCGGGGTCATTTGTTTTTTGTATAACCTTGCTTTGTGCAAGTGACAATTGTTGTCGTCTTCTCTGTGAACGTTTTTTTCTCCGTTATTTTGCCATTTTCAGATTTAAATTTCTAGCGGAAAGCTAACCAGGAAGTGCTTTAGCACACCACGTGACGCATCTGAACGAATCACGTTGTCAGAAATTGACACCAGCCAATGAGATTTCGTTTCTTGGTTTAAGACCCCTTTGCACTTTCACGATTGGTTGCTGATACAAAGGAAATGACCATATTTGGATCCGATGAGATTGTGCAGGAGAAACGGAGCTTTCCAACGATACCTCTGAAGACATGGTGCAAACAGCGGTCGCGGTACTTTATGTTACGTTAGAATGCTAACTTTTGGTGAATGTAGGAGAAATCTACAGACGCAAATAGACAAACTATAGTAAAATAAACACTTAAATGTGTATTTTGTACGTTTTCCTTCCAAAAGCCTGAAAGAAAACATGTTATGGAATCAAAATAGCACAAAATCTCAAAATTGACCAGTGCAGGAAAAACTATGTTTTTGCCTGCCGTGTCTCGCCTTAAGCAATGAAAATAAGCATGAGCTATTGGCTTTGGTTACAACCTTTGGTTACAACCTTTGGTTACACTAGGTATTAAAAAAACAATATGTAAAATATGAATGTTATACATTCATATTACTATTCATATTACTTCATTTTGAGTAAATTAATTCCCACCCGTCCCTCTAAATCTTTTAATTGTTTCCATTTCCCCTCATCAACATTGAGTAAATAATTGGTCCATTTTATACCTTCCATGCCAGGAAGTCATCTGTACCTACCACCGTCTATGTACTATGCTGCTTACCCTGGGAAATGTACCTTTGTCTGTACCTTATTTAAATCTAATAAAATAACATTATTTTTCTTTATTATTGATTTTTTCTTAATTATGATCTCATATTTAGTGAAGTACAGTAAATATGTCTAACTTGTAGACATTTGTAGTCAGGATATAATGTTTCATTTCAGACGTTTAATATGAACAGATTACTTTGATTCTTGTCCTTACCCTCAGAGCAGCGTGGTCCGCCCCAGCCCTCACAGCAGGCCTTCACTGTTTTGTTTACCATCAGGTTCTGAATCTCTGGGAGTCTAGGATCCACAGACACAGCAGGGGAAAGTAAATATACTTACAATACTGCATCACTGCAAATGTTAAGAAGAGTGTTTTCTTCAAATTCTCCTTATTTTGGAATACAAAAGCGTATATGGGCCAGTGCACTGAATTTATTCAACAAGTTTCCCTTATTTAGTGGGAATGCTGTTAACAGCATTCCAACTATCTGTTCTTCTACGCACAAAATTCTTTATTATTATTATTCCACCGGTCTTCTTCTCCCGCATTGAACATCGATGCAGCCATCAATGCATCTAAGCGTATTATGGGGTGTCATCAAATGCCGTTGCCATGGCGACAGACCACTCGCCATGAAACACGATGTCGCTGTAAGTCCAATGGACACGGTCCAATCGTCCCCCAATCTTCACTTGTATATCACCGGTCCATGCCTCAACAGCTCTACGCCAAATCTGAGATCTCACCATATGCCGTTTCCATGGAAACGCATCCCTCGCCATAAAAGACGATGTCGCTATAACTCCTATGAAAATGTTCAAAAAGTGCTCAAACTTCACATGTGTGCTAACAGTCCAGCCGTGAAGACATCTACGGGACAGTTTTGAGATTTCTTCAAAGGTCGTTGCCATGGCAACACAATGCTCGCCATGAAACAGGGTTTTCTCATAACTTCAGTGAAAATGCTCCAAATGGCCCAAAACTTCACAGGTTTGGTAACGATGCAGCCATCAACGCATCTAAGCGTATTATGGGATGCCATCAAATGCCGTTGCCATGGCGACAGATCATTCACCATCAAGTTAGTTCAAAAGTTTGCAGTTCAAATATTCTGCTGCTTTTCCAAGCCTTTTTACTTTCTTTTCTTCTCTCATCACACATTCAAGCCCCCAGTGTTCATGTATCATTTCAATCTAAATTCTTCACTTTCTTCTTACACATTACATTTCAGCATAGCAGTTTAGCGTCAGCTTTTCAGCATAAAGCATTCCCACTAGCAATTTCTTCAGGAATTGCATTCTCTAGTTAAAGCAAGTTATTGGATACTTACGCACCTTGAAAAGTAAAATATGTACCCCAACTAACCAAATGGAACTTTTAAGAAACATCAAACATTGTTATAGAGAAATGTCTGCCTTTTATAAAGCCAATCAATCCTAATCAAGTTATTTCAACATGAGGATGCAACATGCACATAGGATCCTGCTATTCTCCCTTGATCGTACCCACCACCACCAAACACACAGGGGCCCTTCATAACCAACAGGAGTCACTGTTGGAGCAACATGGTTATGACACCTCGCCACATTCCCACCAAAACACCTTGTCAATGGAGAAAATGTGATCTGGGAACATGTTTCAAAGTGGCTTTTTCATCTGATCCACACTGGCAATACTATGTTAATCGTTAAAGCTTTTTCATGAACTGATTTACCGTTAGTGATCTTGTTTAACAAAAATGTATCCAACCTTAGGTACGAAAATAAATTTCACTGAAAACTCTTTATACTTACTTGTACACGAAACAGGATGCCTTTGGACCCTGTTGTTTGTAGTACAGTGCGATGCCATCGTCACCTCCATGCTTGCCGCGCATCCTGTCCACATCTAGTCTCCAGCCCTGGGTGTTGAACTGATACACCTCTGAGCAGCTCACTTCAAGCTGCAGACGCGGGGAAAGAACCCGCTCCACCCTCTCCTCCACCGTGTGTTCACACCAGTGTCTGGAGCACCAAACACAGTTTTAATGCCCCCTTGTATTTTAAAGTGATCTGTTTAAATCAAGTTCCTGAATTCCCTTTAACTTCTGTTCTCTACTGGTATAACAGTCCTCATTATAAAATACTTAACAAGACAAAGATAGTAAGCAATGTGTTATTTGATAGTGAAAATGTAAATACTCATCCAGTTTACTTAAAATGCGCCCGCTTAAAATTCTTAAAAAGGTGCCTGACTGATTTAGTACCCTGATAAAGCAAATAGTTTAGCACTACATTATATTCTCATTAGCCACAACTGCTAATTACTTGCATGCACACCATTCTAAAAAAGATACATTCATCTATTTAGAATTATCCTTCACCTTACAGATCCACCTTAAATATTGATTCTTATGTGAGTTTTGGATTTTAAACGTCTACTGCAACAAGTATCTCTAATGAACCTGAGTTGGGCCGATTGTTAGGGCTCTTTTGAAGCATTATAACTATATGAATGTACTATTGTGCTGTTTCAGTGGTTTACACTGTGATATCTGGTGAATTTAGCTCATTACGGTTGTCACATATTATCTTTCTCACCTTCCTCATCTCTATACCCAACTCTGTCTACAAAATTATCTTAAACGTTTACTGGTCTCATGCTCACCCCATTCCCATCACTGTCTGCAGTCCAAGCAGAGTCAGTAGAAGGGTCTCCATGGCCCTCTGCTGAATGTTTCTGCTTAACGTTCCTGTACAAAAGTTTCAGTGCAAGTATTTTATAAGTCAAGTAAAAAAATAAAATCAACCTAATTTGTCCTGATATTTAACTATAAATGACTGAAAAAGTTTGATCATCATATGTTGTCATTGTGAGTGATCAAACAAACCCATCTAAAATTCCTTAAATGTTTACACCTTTTCTATAATTCTTGCTGCTACAATTAAAAAAGTGCACTTACCTTTGAAGTGCTTTTGGGAAATCTTGGCCATTATAAATCCTTGGCCTGGTAATCAATATTTAGCTTTTGTTCCTTTACTTTCCTTGTTTTCCTTTATTATTTTCCATGTTGCTACGTCCAACAGCATGTAATACACTCCTCTGTGATACTTTGCCTTATGGGGGGAGCAGAGCCCCAGATGCAACGTTTTAAATGTGGGGGTCGACTCATGGGATGTACAGCATCTGAACCTGCTGCCATTGGATACAAGTGGTAAGGTCACAGCTGGATGGGCAGGCATTGGTCCCCCGACCTGTGACGGACACATCCACTGACCTCGCCCCATCAAACATTACAGGACACTGGAGGTGATGGCGGGGGTGGTGGAGCCTCAGCCACAGAAGAAAGAGATGTTTGTCAGAGCCTAATCCTGTAAAGAGAGACGTTTCGGGAAGGATGATGGGGGAATTTATTCAATGAAGCTTGTCAACAGACATGGGGACTAAAGGCTTTTAAACTCACCAATATCCCAAGTCTGACCCCCTGACCCCACAGCGAGGTGGCCCAAACACAGCTGTCACCAGGGTACATGTTAGCCTGAGCCCAGAGGAGAGGAAGGAAAAGCTACTGATGTCACAAGGGTAGGATTTAATGGTATAAGCAAAACAGTGCGTCATAATTGACTTCCCAGCAAACTCTTCACTTGAGCCTTGGATACATTGTGTTTTCTTTATAGCGATAGCAATGAGCTGTGTCATGTTGTTAGCTCACTGCTTCATCACCATTTCTTAGAAGCAGGATGAGGATAGAGAAAGGGAGGAAGGTTGGTGGTACAGGTTTCTGTGGTGTAAAGTAAGTGCAATAACTCAAGTACTGTACTGAAGTACAATTTTGAGGAACTTGTACTTTATTTGAGTATTTACATTTTTTGCTACTTTGTAGTTCTACCCCACTACACTTCAGAGGTAAATATTGTACTTTTTATCCACTACATATAATTCCTTTAGTTACTTTGCAGATATAGATTAAGGATAAACAATAAGACCGACACTTAGATATGACTTTAGTAACACCTGGATTAAATTCACAAGCTATCCAGCAGTAAATAAAGTAATTGAAATTAGTTCCAACTTTACCAGCTATGATAATCATACCAATACATCAATAATTAGAATCAAAACATACAAAATATATGATTGGGAAATGGGCTAATCTGCATAATAAGTACTTTTATGATCAATACTTTAAAGGTGGGGTAGGTAATTTTGGAGAAACCAGCTCGAGTGCGTTAGAATTTGAAAATACACAGCCGGAAAAAATCTGCCACTTCCTTACAGAGCCCCTCCTCCAACACACACGAACGTGCACATGACCAATGAGGCCACGAGATAAGTTTGTGCACAGATGGAAGGCTGACAGGCATGTAGGCCATCCAGTTATTTTAGCTGGGCCGGCTAAAATGATTGGTCGTGCTTTTTACAGTATTACGGCTTCCACAGATGACATTTTTTTATGGATTTTTTGTCAAAGCACTGCTTCATTGCTATCGGGATGTTAAGAGCATTCCATGGAATATAACAAAAAGTGTATCTCGAGCCGGTTTCTCAAACTTACCTAACCCACCTTTAATGCAGATATTTTGAAGTTTTACTTGTAACATTTTGAATGCAGCACTTTTACTTGTAACAGAGTATTTCTACACTCTGGTACTTTTACTTTTACTTAAGTACAAGATCAGAGTACTTCTTCAAGATTTAGACTTCACAGCTGTGCTAGATGATGCTTTATCTCTGCTTTATCTCTTTATCAGTGCACCTTCAAATCAAATCAAATCAGGTTTTATTTATATTGCACATCTAAAAGCGATTTTTGGTCGAGCCAAAGTGCTGTACATGTAATAAAAACACATTACTACAATCACAATAAACGACAATAAATTACAACAGATATATATAAAAAACTAAATAAAAATAAAAACACAAGGAAAAGTCAGGAGTCGTGCTCCGCTCTAACTAGAAAGCCAGAGAGAATATCTATATGCACTGCTCTGGGTTGGCTCTGCCACCTCTACTACAGTATCTGCATTTGGTTGTTGTGCATGTACTGTTCTGTATATCCTCTATGTTTGTGCATGGATATCCTCCCTGTGTGTGTAATGTGTGTAAACACAACAGTCCCGCGAGTAATTTCCCTGTTAAGGATTAATAAAAGTATGTCTTCTTCTTCTTCTTCTTCTTCTTCTTCTTCTTCTTCTTCTTCTTCTTCTTCTTCTTCGGAGGGGGGTAGTTAGTTGCAGCATACCATATTACAGCACTGATCCTATTAAACTTACAATATACAACACAGACCTGCATTTTTTTTTTATGAAGATTGCTAAGAATACATTGTTTCATTTTATGTGGAGGGAAACATTTAACTTTAAGAGAAACCGTTTTTATATTCACCATATCTGGAACAAATCCCAGTCAATCTGATATCTGCTCAAATTTGCAATTTTTGTATTGCACTGCAGTTTTATTCTTATTGTATTATAGCTTGAATACATCATTCATTTAATTTTGCTTGTTTTAAATCCTTTTTATATGTTTCTTTTTACATTTCGATGTGTTTTTACTTTTTATTCTTAATTATTTTCATGTTGCACTTTAAATTGCCTTGATGTTGAAAGGTGCAATGCCTTTTTTGTATTTACCAATTACAATGTCTGGTAGGAATATTAAGTTTGCAGTCCTTCATACAGACAGAATTAAAACAGCTTGGCAATATAAACAGTAATGAGTGTAACAGTCCTCAACTAGATCTAAACAAACCACCCACATTGACACTTTCTTATTTTTTTATTTAATGGAAAAATAAATGTACAAACATTTCAGACATGAATTTAACGTAGTGGTTCAGAGAAACAATGATCAGAATGTAATTGTATACAAAATAAATGTGTACCAATAGTTACAATTGTAATGATTAATTTTTTTTTTTAATAGGGTACCATTTTTTCCATAAAAATAACAAGGAAGAAATAATAATTTGAAAATTAAATAAAGTCCCACTTCTTTAAAGAATGTCTTGCCTTGCCTTCTGCACCTGTTCATTCATCATATTTACAACCCACTGTGGACCAATCGGCCTCCGTCACTACAAGGAAGGTGGTTAAAAGCAGCAGTCCATTGATTCTGTTTTCATAAGAGCGTTTTCTCCAAATGCTGAAGCAGGAGGACCGTACTGACCGACTTTGATTTACACACTGCTTGACACAGCAGGACAACTTAAGGTACAGTAGCTTGGTTTATTTATTTGATTCTCATTCAGAAGTATAAGTGTTTTTTGAGGAAGCATGGAACTACTTCAAAGTCTGAACATTATATACTGTATCGAAACATTATTACATAATACTGTGTACAATAAAAACTGCAGAATGTGACAGTTTGCTTTGAGAACTTGTTAAATTGTGTGCAGTTTATCTATTAAGTGTGCAGCACAAACAGTGCAGGAAGATAAACAGAGAGCAGAGATAAGGGCAGTGTTGACTCTGAGTGTCTTAAAGTACAGGCTGACATATATGGAGCTTACTTCGTGCCAAACCTCCACAAACAAACTTAACATGATTTACAGATGCCCTATGATTCATTAACAAACAGTGTGGTTTGCAAATACAATTAACCTATGCTTCATAGGAAAAAGCCTGATACCTTTTATAAAATATGGTTGAAATTCTTGTTTTTGGAAAGGAACTATACAACTTTGTCAATTTGTATGCAAGATATGATTGGATGTGATGTAGCTTCGTAACCTAACGTTGAAACCTTTTGTCACATGTCCATTTACATTATTTTAAGTAATTTATGTTGTTTTGAGTTTTCTCTTTTGAATTATGTTGACAGTGGTCAAAAGCTGCATATTTTTGTATTATGCAGATTACATTAGATTTTTCACCGGAAACAAAAAACTCACCTTTTGTCTGCTCATGTTGTTACATTTAGTCTGATATTGTTAGAAAGAACATTTTCTAAAATAGTAGACAAGATGTCGGTCTACTTGTAAGATCTATACTGTATTTGTTTCTGTCACATGATTTAATCTGAAAACAAAACAAATGCATTAGTTTGTAGATGGTGTTTTGTATTCGCAAATAACACTGTTTGTTAGTGAATCACAGGGCATCTGTAAAACATGTTTAGATTAGTAGCTCCAGAGACACATTCTGTTGGTGTTCTTGTGGAGAAGTAGAGGAAAGACTGATATAAAAAATGGACGGAGCAATAATTGCTTACCCAGCTGTGAAGAGAGCAGGAAGAGGGAACAAGGCCCAAGTTTGTCTTAAATTCTACTGGAGATAAATAACTATAGCTTCTTATTCTGTTTTATATAATGTGAATAAAAACAGTGTGAAATACATTTGAATATGTAGAAACAAGGCTTATCTTTTTGAGTCTCCCAAATTCCCACTGTTGAATACAAGATCTGTTGTCTTTCCAAAGTCAAACGTATGCATGAGATCACTCAACATATCAATTTCCTCCCTTCATTCACTAAATTCATGCTGGATATTACTTTCTCATTATATTTCAGCCATGAGGCTTCTCTGTCTACTGCAGCTGCTCTGCTTGGCTGGTTGTAGTGCATCCAGATCAAGAGACTGGGCTTATCATGGTGCCCCGATGTATGCCGACCTCACAGCACGCGAGCTGAAAGCTGTCCGGGACTACCTGCACGGTATTCCAGAGCTGGAGCTCACTAAAGCTCATAGCAAGACTCTGATGAAGAACAGCATCCTCCTGA